GAGGTACAGTTATAGACTTACAAATTTTTGTGCTTGGATTTCAGTTATACAATGATCAAGTATAACTTGATCATCCCTCCACCAGTGCCCATCCTCCACCACCACGGGTCCCAGCATCCCTCCCACCCTCCATCCCCCCCATCCCACCCTGCCTCTGTGGCAGGTCATTCCCTTTTGTTCTCTCTCTCTCCTTTTGGGTTCTGTGGTTTGCAAGAGAGGCACTGAGTGGCAATCATGTTTGGTCTATAGTCTACTTTCAGCAATGCATTTCATTTTATTAGAGAATAAACACACTGTATTCAACAAACAGGATTAAAAAAAAATTGATACTGAGGGCCTGGGCTAGTACAGTGGGTATAGAGCTTACCTTGCACATCAACCCGGATGAGATCCCTGGCATCCCAGATGGTCATCAAGCACTTGCCTGAGTGCAAAGCTAAGAGTAACCCCTGAGTATCGCCAGGTGTGGCCCAAACTCTCCCCCCACGATTGATGATAGAAATACACACAGAAAGCCTGAATAATAAAACTCAGTCCGCTTTAATAATGTAAACTGGAAACAGCCGAAAAGTTAAAAGGGAGTAGTTACATAAACTATAGGTAGAAACACTGTATTTTTATTGGACTGCCACGAGATACACAGTTACAAGCCGTTCCTAGTGGGGTTTCAGTCATACAAAGTTCCAACACCCATCCCTCCACCAGAAACATTTACCACCACCAATGTCCATGTGCCCAGTTCGTCTCCTACCACTCTCCCCCCCATCTCTACAGCAGGCACTTTTTCTCTCCCCCTCCTGCTACCGCCCCTCTCCCACTTCCGTCCCCCCCACCTCCACTTTTCAGGCATATAGAAACACTAGATTTAGGAGCCTGAGAGACAGTACAGGGGGTACTTGCCTTTCATGCAACCAGTCCAAGTTCGATCCCTAGCACCAAATCACTCTTGAGCACTGCCAAGAGTGATCCCTGAGCACAGAACTAGAAGAAGCGTGCCCTGAGCACTGCCGCATGTTGCCCAGAAACAAACAAAAATTAGTACTTATGCAGTTTTTAAGTTAATGATGGGAATAAACAGAATTAAAAATTAACATACAGTGTTCATGCCCAATTCAATCAACCTAATCGGTGGCTGAATAAATAGCAGTGGGGGCTGGAGAGACAGCACAGCGGGTAAGGCATTTGCCTTGCACGCGGCCAACCTGGGTTCGATTCCCAGCATCCCATATGGCCCCCTGAGCACGGCCAGGGGTAATTCCTGAGTGCAGAGCCAGGTGTGACCTGTGCATTGCCGGGTGTGACCCAAAAAAGAAAAAAAAAGTAATAATAAATAGCAGTATTCCCACATTAAAAATAAATAAATAAAAATATAAATTGTATTTGTCAACTGAATAAATCAACCAATATTATTTGGTATGGACTTCCTCCCTTTTTTGGTTGATTTATCATTGTTACCATTAGATTTCAGGAATGCAGCTTCAGACCTCTTTATGTGCACAGAACTCACTGCACCCACCAGAGCCCCACTACCATCGAAAACACTAAAATTATCGTGTACATGTTCTTCTACCACCCTCCTTTCCCTCAGGGAACCATCAGTTTTCACTGAATCTTGGAACTAGTTTTGTTGCACTGAATGGTTCTTTTGCTTTATTAATATTCCAGGATATTCAGTCTTTCGCTAACTTTATGACATTTAGCATCAACAGTTCACAAATGGCACAATTTTATCTTTTTGAATGACAGAGTAGTGTTCTGGAGTCACAGCAACAGTACAGCAGGTAGGATGTTTGCCCTGCATGCAGCCGACCTGGGTTCGATCCCCAGCATCCCATATGGTCCCCTGAGCATGCCAGGTGTAATTCTTGAGTGCAGAGCAAGGAGTAACACCGGAGCATCGCTGGGTGTGATCCAAAAAAACAAAACCAAAATAAACAACAGAGTGGTGTTCTGTTGTGGAGTAAATACAGTACAATTTATCAGGTCATTTGTCACTGATCTCATGTTTTGGCTATTGTGAATAATGCAATATAAATATACCAGTTCAAATGTCCTTTCAACTTAGTATTTTCAAAATCTTATAAATCACATAAAATATTGAGAACGCATTTTCACGCAAATGTTATAAGACAATTCTATACGGGGGGGGGAGGGCAGAAAAATGGAACATGGGGTAAAGTGCTTGCTTTGCATGCGGCTAACCTGGGTTCAAAGACCTGAAAGACTGGTTATCAACAATATCTAACACTTGGAAGTGTAAGGTCCTTGACCCCAGAATAACTCACTAAATTTTGTTTTTTTACTTGGAGTTATTCCAGCCAATGACCTCTACAAGTCTGCAGAACTAGCACTGATTGAGGTGATTTAAGGTTGCATCTTTCCCAACCAAACAATACTTTGTTTCCAAACAAAAATATTATTTTAAAAACTCAGACATCATGGACCCTAACAGGAAGACTGTGAGAACATATGCAGAATCTTGCTTTCTGAGGAATTATATTGAAAAGCAAAGCACTACTTTTACGCAGATAACTAAGTTTTCATTTAATAAATATTCAGTGCCTGGCACTGTGCTAAGTACTGCAGGTTAAGCGAGTTTAGAATCCCAAAGGGAAGACAATCATTATGAGGCTGACACAGCTAATTATGATCATTTTAAGTACTATGAAGGATGAGTATAGCTAGTCACACAGGTGGCAAGGGAAACAAAGTCTGTGGGAGTTAAAATTTCCTATCAATCGTGTTTATATGCAGTGTTGCAGCAATTCAGGTGACCACTCTGGCTGCATTCAAATCCGGTCCTGGTCTTTGCTCATTCACACAGGTGCAGTTAACAATGCCACGGAGCTCACAAACCCAGTCAGGACTCAGTAATTTCACGCACGTAAAACACAGTGATGACAGAGTGCCCGTTTCAAAAGTGTCAGCTGTTAATACTACTTTATTAGAGAGAACCAGAAAGACAAGCAGGGATCAAGGAAAGAAGAGACAGCAACATGAGCACTCAACGGAGCTGCTGGGCCTGCAGAAGAGGTCAGTGTTTCTAAGCACAGGAAGCTTCGGGGAACAAGGGATGAAATCAGGGGGAGCCTGAGCGACAACGCAATGGGGACAGGCGCAGGCATCGTTTTACTAAAACGAACTGTGATTGATCCTCTTTTCAGAAATGTTATAGGATCATTATTATTATTATTATTTTTGCTTTTTGGGTCACACCCGGTGATGCTCAGGGGTTATAGAATTTTGTGTTCTGTGTTTTTTTTTTTTTTTTTTTTTTTTTTTTTGCTTTTTGGGTCACACCCGGCGATGCTCAGGGGTTACTCCTGGCTCTGCACTCAGGAATCACTCCTGGCGGTGCTCGGGGGACCCTATGGGATGCTGGGAATCGAACCCTGGTCGGCTGCGTGCAAAGCAAACGCCCTACCCGCTGGGCTATCGTTCCAGCCCTGGGTTATAGAATTTTGAACTAATCGTTCTTTTTTTTTTCCTCTTTCTCTTCGGCTTTTGGGTCACACCCCACTGCTCTCAGAGATCCTTCCTGGCAGGCTCTGGGGACCATGGGGGGGGGGGGGGGGGCAGCCTCGTGCAAGGCAGGTGCTTTACCCATCATACTACCTCTGTCCAGACCTAAACGTTCCTGAGAGCACTTGCTGCGAGTCCTGCCTAGGCACCTGCGGGGTGAGGTTTCAGTTCATTTTATGCTCCACCCATTCATCTACTACTTCCCAGCACGTGATTAAGCAGGTGCTAGGAAAAAAGACAGCCAGGCTGGGGCTGCAGCTCAGCGAGGCCCAGGTCTCCACGAGTGACCCCTGGTACCCATCTACCCATCGCCAGAAAACGGAGGGGTGGGAGGAAATGTCCTTGGGCGACTTTGGAAAGGAGAGCCAGAGAAAGAGAGAAGGCTGGAGAGAGAGCACAGCGAGGAGGGCGTTTGCCTTGCACACGGCCGACCCGGGTTCGATCCCCAGCATCCCATAGGGTCCCCCGAGCACCGCCAGGAGTGATTCCTGAGTGCAGAGCCAGGAGCAACCCCTGTGCGTCGCCGGGTGTGACCCAAAAAGCAAAAATAAATAAATAAAAATAAAGGACAGGGGCTGGAGCATAGCACAGGGATAGGGCGTCTGCCCTGCACCTGGCCGACCCGGGTTCGATCCCCAGCATCCCATAGGGTCCCCCGAGCACCGCCAGGAGTGATTCCTGAGTGCAGAGCCAGGAGCAACCCCTGAGCATGACCGGGTGTGACCCAAAAAAGCAAAAAAAAAAAAAAAGGAAGGGGGGATGGGAAGTGACTGTGCGTGTGCGTGTGCGTGCGTGTGTGTGTTGTGTGTTTCTGGGCTCGAGAGTTACACCCAATGCCACACTCGGGGGGCGGGGGAGGGGGTTCGAGGGACCAGAGGATCTAAGCCGCCCTCCCGAGTCAGGGCCGCGCCCGGCGCGCCGAGTTGTCGCTGCGGTCCAGGAAGTGTCACCGAGCGGGGACCCGGGCTGCTCTCAGGCTGCTGTCCGCTGGGCAGGACACGCTCCCCCGGGGGGCTTCGGGGGAAGCCCACCGAAGACGACGCGCGCGCCGGCCCCTAGGGGGCGCGCGCTCCCTCCAGCCCAGCCCAGCCGGAGCCGCGGCCGCCGCCTGGCACTTACCGCGTCGAGGCCCCCGAGCCCGGCCCAGGCGGCGGGCGAGGGCGGGCGAGGGCGGGCGAGGGCGGGCTCGGAAGCGCGGAGACCCTGGGGAATCGGCCGGGGTCACCGGACGCCCAAGGAGAGGACGTCCTCCAGCTCCAGGCCCCGGCCCGGGCAGGCGCTCCGCTCCCTCGGGAAGCGCCCGCTTCCGGCACCTCTGACCCCGGAAGCACTCGCCGCGCCCACTTCCCCACCCACTTCCTGCTCGGGCCGAGCCTCGCGCCAATCAGCGCCCGGGGAAGGCGCCTGCGCGCTGCGCCACGCGGAGCCCTTTGACCCGAGAGCCGCCCCGGCGCCCGCGCCCCTCCCCGTCGGCGAAGATGGCGCTGTCCAGGGTGTGCTGGGCTCGGGCCGCGCTGTGGGGCTCGGCGGTCGCCCGCGGACCCCCCGCCCCTCGGCGGCTGCAGCTGATTCGCCCCGGCCTGGCCTGGGGGGCCCCTGGGTGAGGGCCCGGAGAGAGAAAAGCGCCGACGCCCCGCTCCGAGGCGGGCCGTGCTTGCATGCCCCGACCGTCTCGCTTGCGTGCTGCAAAGCCTTGAGGGTCGCGCCGCCGGGCTCCGCGCCCAGGCCCACCCGGACGCTGCTCCCCGCTTCTCGCTAGCGACGGGGCTTCCCCGTGCACAGTGCCCCTAGTGTCTGCATGGCCCTGTGGCCCGAGTTCATCTCCCAGCCTCCTCTTTCCCGAAGGTTCGGTTTCCCTAGCTGATCGCCTCGACCCCCCTTCTCTCTGGACTCTAGCCTGCTGCTTCCAGCCTCTCGCCTTGCACACTCCAGGGTTTGCCGTCCTGCCTGTCCTCGCCGATCTGTTATTGGGAGGCTCGTTGCTTCTGAATGCAAGATTTTTTTTTTTTTTTTGCTTTTTGGGTCCCACCCGGCGATGCTCAGGGGTCCCTCCTGCCTTTGCACACTCAGGAATCACTCCTGGAGGTGCTCAGGGGACCCTATGGGATGCTGGGGATCGAACTCGGGGGTTCCTCCTGGCTTTGCACTCAGGAATCACTCCTGGTGGTGCTCGGGAGACCCTATGGGATGCTGGGGATCGAACCCGGGTCGGCCGCGTGCAAGGCAAACGCCCTCCCCGCTGTGCTAGTGCTCCAGCCCCTGAATCCCAAGGTCTTGATCTTGGAAGTTTCCGGTCTCTGCACACATTCTCGGAGGGGTGGTGTTTTATATTCAGGACTTTAGGGGCCTCCAGGACTAGATTCTAGAGAGTCTCTTTGATTCTTTTTTCTTGCAGGTCTGCAAAGATCCACCTTTCTCCAAAGGCAGATATGAAGAGCTTGATCTCTTACGTGGTGACCAAGACTAAAGCGATTAATGGGAAATACCATGAGTTTTTAAGCCGTCGTTTCCCCCGCGTTTATCTTCTGTACACAATCTTCACGAAAGGTAAAATCAGAACTAGAGTGGGGATCCCTTGAAGCGCTCCTGGGCAGTGTCAGAGACTAAGATCAATGGCACCGGAGGGACTGGAGACATAGCACAAGGAGTTGGAGCCTTTGGGCACAAAGTCCCCCAGCCCAGAGCTAGTCAAAGTTGCACCTGAGCACCACGAGGTGGGGCCCCAAAACCACCGCCACCAAAACACAAACAGAGACAATCGTTTGCAGATTGTGCTATAAGAATGTGAACTGGACAGTGTTCCGTATTTTAAGTGCTTGATTACTCAGAGTTCACACATTTGAGATTGTTATGCAGTGAGATGAGGAAAAAATTCTTATCAGCACTAAGGGATTACATAGATACTTTTGTTCTTAATTGTGCACCTGATTGAAGTAGAAATTTTTTTATTATTCACAAGGCCAGGGATATAGACCTGCCCTCTGATACCAGTTGGCTTGACTCAGAAGAAGGATGAATGAAGACTTATCACGTATATTCTAGATAGCATGTTTTGGTAATAGAACTATGTGCACTCAGTTTCTGCGTGTTTTGGTTCAAATCATATCTCTTCTAGATGCTATGAGATAGAACAGTGTCTGCTGTCCTGTCTGGAGCCATCTGCTGGGTTCAAATCCCCGTTTGTCCCTGTTTGATTGGACTATTTAATCTGAGTCCCTGGGTTTTCTCATTTGTAAACTAAGAATAATAATAGAACCTATCTGTTGACCACCTAATTGTGAAAGTTAAATAAATCAATGCATGTAAGTTACTTTGGACCTAATACCTAATTAGAATTGGTAATTGTTGTATAGTAATTAGTATACACTATATGTTCATTATAACACCAATTATAGTGAACATTGTCAGCTCCAAGTATTGTATTTATTACTAACTTGATACTTTAAGTAAAATGCTTATCCTTAGCACTAGAGATAGTAACGAACCTTTTGTGTGCTCCAAGCCTTTTGAGCTCCAAGGCTTATAATAGGAGGAGTGACAAACAGCCCAGAAGGCATTTTAATAAGACATTTAGGGTGCTGGAGCAATAATTCAGTGGGTATGGTGTTTGCCTTGCATGTAGCTGACCCGGTTCGATTCCCAGCATCCCATATGGTCCCCTGAGCACCTCCAGGAATGATTTCTGAGTGCAAAGCCAGGAATAACCTCTGAGCACCACCAGGTGTGACCCCCGCAAAGAAAAAAAAAATATATATATATATAGACTTTTATTATAGGACATTTTAACCACATAAAAGTAGAATAATATGATTAAGTTATTTGAGTTCCAGCATTTATCAACTCATGGCCACCAATCTTTTTTTTTTTTTTTTGGGAATGGAATTTGGGGCTACATTTGGTTATGCTTAGAGTCTGCTGCTGGATTTATATTCAGGGGTCACTCCTGGTGGTACTTGGAGGATCTTTTGGTGCTGGGGATTAAACCAGGGCCTGCACTTGTAAAGTCCACACTCAGCCTATTGAGCTGTCTCTCCAATCCTGTGTTCACCATTGTCTCATTTAGATTTTTTTCTTTTATATTGTTTTATATTGTTTTATATTTATTTTCATTCATAAATGTAAAAGCATCTGTAAAGACCAAAGTTCTAATTCCATGTAATAATTACCAGAGAAAGGAGATTTAAAATGTGGTCAGAATTACGTTGAATTAGAGTAATTATAAAAGTATCTTGGAAATAAAACACAGGATGGGGCAGAGTGATAGTGCAGTGGGTAGGACGCTTTCCTTGCACACCACTGATCTGGGTTTGACCAAAATGGCACCCCACATGGTCCCCCAAGCCCTGTCGAAAGTAAGTCCTGAGTACTGTTGGGTGTGACTCAAAGATCAAAAGATAATAAAATAAGGAACAGGAAAATAGCTCAGAGGAGTGGAGCACCATACCTACCACGCCTAAGGCTCCACATTTGATGCCCAAATTCTGCCACGTTTTGCTTTGGGAGACCCAGCACTACTGGAGAGGCTCTCACCCAGTTTCTTAAGTTAAAAAGAAAAATGTTGGGGCCAAAGCAATAGTACAGAGGGCAGGCACTTGCCTTGCATGCAGCTGGCCTGGATTCAATCCCTGGCATCCCATATTATCCTCTGAGCCCCACCAGGAGTGATCCCTGACCTCAGAACTCAGAGTAAGTCCTGAGCACTGCTAAGTATGACCAAAAATTTTTTTTTAAAAAGTTAATATCACATTAGATTTTTGTTAATATCTTTCCTTTTTTTTCCTTTTTTTTTTTTGAGCCACACCCAGCAGAGCTTGTGACTACTCCTGACTCTGTACTCAGGGTTTTGCTCTCAGGGGATCTTGTGGTGCTGTGGGTTGGACTCAGGCCTTCTCAGCCAAATCGTGTGCTCAGTCGATTGAGCAACCTCTCCAGCTCTGAAAAGTTATTAGCTGTATTGGGAATGCATAGAGTAAATTAAAAAAAAAAAGACTTAGAGTTCAGGCAGTTGTAATGTTTGTTAAAGAGTAAACGAGGAGCTAGGGACATAGATGCTTTGCATGTGGAGCCCCGGGTTCAATGACCTGAGGACCAGGAGTAGCTCCAGAAAATTGCCACTTGTAGCCCCAAAATGAAAGTAGGGACGGGCTGAAAAATGTAGCACAGTGATAAAGCACACGATTCGCATAGAAGGGGGCCTGGCTCAATCCCCTCATCAAAAAATGAAATAGGGCCTGGAGCAATTACACAGCGGGTAGGCCATTTGCCTTGCACACCGCCAAATTGGGTTTGATTCCCAGCACCCCATGTGGTCCCTCAAGTCTCTCAGAAGTGATCCCCTGCTCAGAGCCAAGAGATAGCCCTGAGCAGTGTTTTGACACCCCTCCCCCCCAACAAAGGAACAGAGAAGCAAACAAAGAAAAGAGAAATAAGAAGTGAGTAACGAGGGGGCTGGAGAGAAAGTACAGCAGGTAGGGCACTTGCTTTGGACACGGCCAACCCAGCTCCGATCCCCGGCATCCCATACGGTCCCCCAAGAACCAACATGAGCGATCCCTGAGCTCAGAGCTAGAAGTAACCCCTGAGTACAGCCGGGTGTGGCCCGGAAACAACAAAAATCGTAAATAAGGAGGAGACCGTTTAGAGTAGCTCCTAGAAGCCAGCATTGGAAGGAAGACAGGATGTACTGCCTGCAGAGGGAGTAGAGATGAGAAAGTAGAGACGAGAAAGGAGACAGGGCTTGGCCTCACAAGCGTTGCAGGCCTCGTGTGAAGCTTCAGTCTGTGGCTGGGAGGCACAGGTGAGCGCATGTGGGGGGACACAAGTAGAGAATTGGGGGAAGATGCAAACTGGGATAACATCACACTGTGTCCTCTACTTTAATGAGGCAGGATTGCAGATGTTATGGGCTGATGCCAAAAAGGCTAGAAGAATAAGGACAAGTATGTGGAAGCACAATATAAAGTTTCATCAACTTTCATACCGGGAGATGGAGCATTTGAGACAGGTATGGGCCGGAGGCAGATGTCAGAAATTCCTGGTTGAGGTAATCGAAGTTAACCAAGCTCTCAAGTTTGTGTTCTTTTCTTCCTTGCTCATCTTCTCTCGAGCTTTTGCCCTTTGCTTTGAGGTCAGGGGAACGGACAGAATGAGAGTCAGTTGCAGTTTTGAGTTAGGTTCAGAGTGTGGCCCTTCTCAGTAGAGTTCCGTGGTCTCTACGCGCTTTCTGAATAAAAGTCAGGGCCACTGTCCATCTTCTTTCTGAACACAGAAAACCCTGCGACAGTCCAAAAGGCATCAAGTGGGGAGGGGGTTTAGCTCAGTGGTGGAGCATTTGCCTGCCTGTGGGATGTGAGGTTCAGTCCCCAGCATCAAGAAAGGCAACAGAAAAGTAGTATGTGGTGGTAAGTAGATGGGCAGTTTTGAGACCGAGTCAGATTTCTAGGGCCCATTCTTCAGATGAAGAGGCGTTCACCAAGGGAACTGGTAGAATGTGAGGCCTCATACTAGACGTTTCTTGGGGATCAGAGGAGAACAAATCAGGTTTCTGCCCTCAAGGAACTAAGCATCCAGCAGTTGACAGAAATAACCGCAATCCCTTTCTCAGCTGTAATAAAGGTTATTGTGCAGGGGAGGGTGGGAGGAGGAAGGATTTTTCACTGTGATCAGAACTGATCCGGGTTAAAACTGCTTTTCCGTTTGTTTCCACTCAGTTTCGTCGAGACATCACCAAGTTCCTTTTCCTAGGTATTATTTCCGTTCCACCCTTTGCCAACTACCTGGTCTTCGTGTTAATGTGAGTACAAACTGCCCCCTTACGTATTCAGCATTTGTGGGTTGTTTTAAAAGTAACATAATTTGGGGGGGGGGGGGGCTGGAGTGATAGCACAGCGGGTAGGGCATTTGCCTTGCACGCGGCCAACCTGGGTTCGATTCCCAGTATCCCATATGGAGTAACTTCTGAGTGCAGAGCCGGGAGTAACCCCTGGGCATCACTGGGTATGACCCAAAAAAGAAAAAGAAACATGATTTTTTTAAGTGTTAAAAAATGAATTGATTTTTTAATATTATTTCTGTACAGAAGCCAGGTAGGGGTTATCAAGCTTCTAGTCTTTTCATCAGTCTAAGGATTATCAAAAGCGTATGTTAAGATTATCAAAATGTCCCTGGGTCACGGGACATTTGTGGATATTGGTGACCCAGTCTTTTCCTAGCTTGTGGACACTCCTGTACAACAGGAGATAAGATAATGACTCTGGGTCTTGCGTGTCTGATGCCCTAGATTCGATTCCCATCACAGCAGGGTTCCTCGAGCACCAAGCCTGGGTGTAGTTTAAAAGCTAAATTATCATTTGTGGCCAAAACAAAAAAATAATAACCTTTTTTGTTTGACTTTTTGTGTTGCGCCCAGTGATGCCTGAGTGTTACTCCTGGCTGTGCAGTCTGGAAATACTCCTGGTGGTGCTGGGGAACCATATGGGGATCAAATTTGCGTTGGTCACATGCAAGGCAAATGCCCTCCCTGCTGTATTGTAACTCTGGCCCTACATAATGACCTTTTTCCTCTATCCCTGGAGGGAACAGCCCACCCTGAGAGACAGCAATTTGGGACAGATTTCTTTCTTCAAGGGGAAAAGAAAAAATGAATTTCAGAGCAGAAAGTGGCTCAAAGGACCGGAGCACCAGGTTCATTCCTGAGTACCAAATGGTCCCATCCCTAAGCACCTCCAGGAGTGCTTCTCCCCAAAGTAGATTTCATGTTCAGATTGTGTGTGTGTGTGGGGGGTGGGGGTGTGGAGGGCATATTCATTGGTGATCAGGGGCTTTTCCTGCGTCCCAGCCCAACACCTATCCCAGCGGGCTCGGGACTATATTCAGTGCTGGAGATGTATTGCAGGGTGACTATGCTCGGCCTCTACTTGTTGTCTACTATCTAAAAGAGGAGACTCTCAGGTGCCGGAGAGATAGTACGGCAGTTAGGGCACTAACCTTGCACATGGATGGCTCTGGTTCACCCTCTGGAACCCATATATGGTTTCCCATACCCCACCAGGAATAATCACGGAGCAGAGAGCCAGACTGAAAGCCCTGGGCACTGCTGGCTGTCACCCCCAAAATTACAGATTAAAGAAAATAAAGAGGAGACCTTTAACCTGTGGCCTTGCATGTTGGTGTCTATTCCTGTATAACAAGCTGTCACTTAATAGCTTAGAACAAGCACCACTTCCTGAGAGAGTGGGTCCAGGTTTGAACACAGCTTGCATTACTGATTTTTCTTTACTACAGTATTAGCCAAAGTCACCGGGTGATACTGAGCTGGTGAACAAACTAATTCGGAGAGTCTAGGACTAAGAGAGTCTCGTCTAGGAGTGGGGCGTTAGCAGGGATGGCTGGAAGACTAGAACTTTCCCAAAGCCTTCTTGTGGCCTTCTTCATAGAGAGGCATGAAGATAGAGGAACTTTTTCAGCTCTGGGTTCAGAGTGATTGTTCCTGCAAATGAACCTGGACCCTTAGGGGTTGTGGGGACAGCTTAGTGGTAGAGCCTGTCCTATAGGCCTGAGGCTACCACTTCTAGATAAATTCAGGTCCTGACACCAGCCCATATGCCAAGTGCAACCCAGGCGACACTGCTGTTTGGGATCCCAGGTGCTGCCGCAGAAGCGCCCCCATCTCCAGTACACTGCAGCCAGATGCGTAGTAGAGCATCTCAGTTCCCAGGTGCGGCCACCAGCCCACTCCAGACTCTGGGCGAGCCCCTCAACCGAGACTGTGACCCCACTCATCGCACAGCAACAAAGGCAGGGCAGTGGGATGCGGGTGGGGAGAAAAGACTCTGTACTTATAATCTAGCCTCAATGGTCACAAAGGCTCACTTCTCTGTCCTAACGGTTACGTCGGTCACCCAGATTTTCTCAAAGGGGGTTAGACCTCCCTCGTCTGAACTTGTGAACTTGTTCACAGCATACATGTGGACAAATGAATTAAAAACATTTGCTGTTCCACAGACTAGATACACAGGACTGTTCTACAGTCCGAGATTGTCAGTCTCACAGCCACTGTCAAGCTCCACAGCTCCGACCCAATGTTTTTCCCACAAACTGAATCTCAGAGGAGTCGTGTTCTTAGACTGCCCCGGGCTAGGCTACTCCTCCCGTTTCCCGTCACATAACCTCAGTGTAGGACATGAAGTTACACTGCAGTATGAAGTTGACCTTGGTCTGGAACTCATTATGAAAAAGGAAGGAGTAGGGTCAGGTGTCCATCTCCTTCCTCGTCTTCCTGTCCACCAGTGCATTCTTGGCACGGCTCATGTTGAAACATGCCAGTTTGACTTTTCATTCTTTTGCTCTCAGGTACCTGTTCCCTAGGCAACTACTGGTCCAACATTTCTGGACCCCAGAGCAAAAAATTGATTTCTTAGATGTCTACCATGGTCTTCGGAAGGAATCTCACCCAGAAGTCCTTCGTTATTTAGAAACGATCGTCCCTCTCATCTCTGATGCAGGACTCCAGAAGCACATGACAGAGCTGTGCACCAAGGTATTATCCCTTTATCCCTTTGTGCAAGTCACAATCTTGTTAAATCCATTTTGCTCCAAAACTGGGAACAAGGGCTAGTGGGCTCTTCTTAAACCCACCGGTTTCTTACCTCTCCCAAGATGAAGCGTGGCACCCACCCCACAATCCATGAGATCCTGGCTCTGAGAAAGTGTTTCTCGAACCCTCCTCTGGGCATGGACCAACTCCAGGCTTTCCAGATGGTGAGTACTTTTATCTTCCACAGCGGAATTCAGCTTTGGGTCTTTGCTTTGGTAGCATTTTGTTGACCTTCTCCTCCTGTTTCACAGAGAGCCTTAAGTCGTGCCATGCTTCTCACGCCTTACCTGCCTCCTGTCCTGTTGAGATATCGTTTGAGGACTCACACCACGGTGATTCACCAGCTGGACAAGGCTCTGGCGAAGCTGGGAATCAGCCAGCTGACAGCTCAGGAAGTTAAATCGGTAAGAGCCTGATTGCAACCTTCGTGGGCTTTTGAGCCCACAGGGACTGGGAGTTTGCAGAGTGCTCCTAGTCTGACTTGTTACTGCAATGGTGTGCAAACTGTCTGTCTCTCACTTTACTTCCAGCAAACCTAGCTAGTGGGAAGAAAGTGGCAGGATTTGGTCATGTTTACTTTGCACTGACCCTTCAAAATCTAAGAACGCGTGAATTTATTTTTCTTTCTGGGTCACACCCAGTGATGCTCAGGGGTTACTCCTGGCAGTGCTCAGGGGACCATATGGGATGCCGATCATCAAACCAGGTCGGCTATGTGCAAGGCAAAAGCCTACAACTGTACTATCATTCTTGCCCCAAGAACACTGAACTTCAGGCTAAGAGTCTATAAGGTTCTTTCCTTCTCATTGTGTTCATAATAATTCAGCTACCACATGAGGGGTTTCTTTGAGGGTGGCATTATTACTTACTTAAGGAGACTTGGAGTTAGCTACAGATCTATGACTGCCTTAACATCCTCATTCTATAATTCCTGTGGACTTTTTCTCTTCTGGGTGATGCAGGCTTGTTATCTTCGTGGCCTGAATTCTAACCATATTGCTGAAGAGAGGTGTCGAACTTGGCTGGGAGAGTGGCTGCATATCTCCTGCAACCTGAAAGGTAAGGCAAACCCCGTGGCTATGTCACTGGAATTTTGCAGCTCACTTTGCACAGTGTTTGAAGATGATTCTGAGTTACAGTGGTGAGGCAGGTGATGGAGTAAACTGTAAGGCAAGAGGAAGGAGAGGGCTGAAGTGATAGCACAGCAGGTAGGCCGTTCGCTTTGCACGTGGCCGACCTGGGTTCGATTCCCAGCATCCCATGTGGTCCCCCAAGCACCACCAGGAGTAACTCCTGTGCAACTCACACCAGGTGTGACCCATAAAGCAAAACAACAACAACAACAAACCCAATAAAAATAAAGGCAAAAGGGAGGAGCTGGTACAGCAGGTAAATTTACCTTGCACATGGCTGACCCTGATTTGATCCTCAGGGTCACTTGATCCGCATTGGTTTTCTGTGCACTGCTAGGGGTGATGCTGATGCACAGAGCCTGGAGTACTCCTAAGCACCTCCAGGTGCGGCCCCTGAAAAAATGACAGGAAGTAGTGGAAATTGTGGGTGCAGGAAAATGAAGCAGTCTCTGGGCTTTGGCACGCTGACAACTGTTCTATTATCAGCAGTTTAGTGACATCTCTGTCCTCTCTGTACCAGATGCCCCAGTGTACCCTCATGCTAGTTCTGACCACCAAAAATGTCTCCCAAAAAGACTCCCATAAGTCGGGAGGCCGTGGGGAATCTGTTTGTCCCGGTTGAGGAGCAGTGGGGTGAGGGACATTCAAATTCAAATGAAAAAGATACGGTTGACCGAATAAAAAGTAGGTGAGCGTAGTAGATATTAGTTCTTCTTTTTGTTTTGTTTTGTTTTGTTTTGATTACGTTTTTGGTTTTTGTTTGAAGCCACAGCCAGGGGTACTTGGGGCTTACTTGGGCGCTGCACTCAAGAATCGCTTCTGGCAGGGCTCAGGGCACCATATGTGGTGCTAGCGATGAAATCCTGGTCAGTCATGGGCAAGACAGACCCTTCACTGCACACGATGTCTATTGCCCCTCTTTTCTTCTTGAAACTTGTGTAGCCATTGGTGTTTTCTAAGCCTGTGAATATCAGGGCAGACTTTCTCCCCAGTAATCTCCTTGAAGCCTAGAAACATCCCCAGAGCATCTAATTCTGCGAGTAGAATCCCTGAGGTAACAGTGATATTTAGTACCTTTGCCATTTCTTCATTTTCTGCTGCTGTCACATTAGAAGAATGAGAATGTTGGGGCTGGAGAGATCGTACAGGTAGGCGCTTGCCTTACATGCCGCTGACCCGGGTTTGATCCCTGTCCCAGTATAGTCCCCAAACACCGCTAAAAGTAGCTGCTGAGCTCTGAGCCAAGAATAAGCCCTGAGCATAGCTGGGTTGACCCAGCCCTCCCCTTCCTCCCTCCTCCCTCCTCCCTTGAATAAAGAACAAGGATGTTAGTGCCAGAGAGTAGTACAGTCAGAAAGGAATGTGCCTTACACATGACCAACCTGGGTTCCGTTCCTGGTACCACATACAGTCCCCTGAGCACTGCCAGTTGTGACCAAAACAGAAATAGGGATGGTGTGAGTGGATCTGGTGGGAGGGCAGAAGCGTTTATGCTGGGACGGGCCCAAAGCAGGGGACACAGCCTACGGTCACACGGCCCTTCCCCTGGCTTCCACCTCTCATGTCAGGCGGCTGAGGCTGGCTTCCCTGGCCAAACCCTTACCACTGACGGTCTTTGCAGAAGCCGAGCTGTCCCTCCTGCTGCACAACCTGGTCCTGCTGTCCACCAACTACGCGGGGTCGAGGCTCTGAGCAACCGTAGCGTGGAGGCGCTGTCCAGTCACCGAGAGCAGCAGCGCAGGCCAGACGGCACCGACCACTGAGACTCTGTGTCTGCCCGGTGTGCGGGAGGCAGAATGGGCGTCCCCAGCCGGCGGCCTTCTGTGCAGGCAGGAACTGAAGCCCCTCCTGCCCGGGCTGGGAGTTCCAGCCGCTCCCCTCAATAGCAGTCGCTGGCAGCGGCCTCTGAAGTGGGCTTTGACTGCGATGTCTGGGGTCGGGTCTCCGGAAGGGAAGCTCTGCCCTGCCAGGGGGTCCTCGTGTGTTTAGGACTCGCCACTGCCCACTCTTTACAGCTGTTTGTTACAGGTGGCCGAGGCCTCTAAGGGAACAGCACCACCTAAAGGGAGCTTTTCCATCGACGCATGGACTCAAGGGCTCCCCACATCCTTTCTGATATGACCAAAAATACGAGTATTTGTCTCCACTGTACTAAACCACTCCCTTTCTTTTTCCAGTCCTGTAAACATTTTAGTAAATTTTTTGTGCGTGAACTTAACATTCTAATGTACTATATAAAGGGAAATTCAAGGACTTCTTGATTCCTTCCCATTATTTATAGCCTTAACTGCCTCCCCCTCCCATTTTCGTTTTGGGGGTGTGGTGCAACCCTTGTGGGTCGTGCACTGTTAACTCACTCTGTAACGCGGCAGTCCACTGGACCTGACGGTGGGCACCACCACTGAGCTGTGGATCAAACCTTTAAGTTACTAAATTACTGCCCAGCCTGGGAGACCAGGACGGGTCTGCTTCCAGATACTAAGTTGGATTTGTGTATGTGGACATCCGTGACTTAGAGTAACTTATTTTAAACGCATGAAGCACTGTTTTTAAACCCAAGTAAAAACCACTCAAACCACTTGCTGGAAATTACTTGTGCTCACTCTAATCATTTTGCTAATAAGGATCCTGTTACAAGACTGAGATATGTGGTTGGACTGGAACCTTCTGATGGGTACAAGTTAGGAAGGAACAGAATTCAAATTCATCTCTGCTGAAATTTATGATGTTAACTAACAGATTTTCCTATGTATTTCAAAAATGACGCTTAAGGGTTAGGAGTATAGAGGGAACAGTGTATGCACAAGTCAAGCTCTTGATCCAAAGGTAACGTCGTCTTTTCCTGCTTCTGCTGTTAACATTCATTTTTACTGACCTCGTTTTTTTCACGGTGCTGGAGAAGCATCTTTACCGACAGCCGAATCGTGGCCTGACAAGATGAAGAATACACCGTTCTTTTGAATATTTCTTTAATATTACATTTAAATATTCTCTTTAAATACAGTATTATCACAATGTCAAGGACCTAAAAGGGGAAAAATAAAAGTGTTTTCAGAGAAACATACAAGCTTTGGATTCACATTGAGAATACTACCTGTGTACAATATGAGAAAGGAATTTTAATAAGTCATTTATCTAGGCCTCAACTGAGCTGAGTGGGACTGAAGCTCTTTGCTTCTGTGATAAAAGGCCTCGCTTTTCTGGCAACCGTGCTTCTGTCCACCTCAGGTAGCACCAAAAATGAGATAGACTAGGTTGTAGAAAAGGCCCCTTGACAAGACAGGTCTGCTAAATGTTAATATTTAGCATTTTAATGCTTGGGATCAGTGTTAGGATTGAAGTTAGTGAAGCGATAAGACTTCTATTAAGGAACTAGTTTTTCGAAAAATAAAGTGTCTTGGGGGTTGGCAATGAATTTAAGTAGATTCAGACTTTTGATTTGATCCCAGAGGCTAATGTGTCTCACTGCTCAGCTAGAATCCACATTCTTGATTCGGCTGGATCCTTCCTAAAGAGGGAATGCATAAAGTTGACTCCCCTTCCACATGAACTTTCAGAATGATTCTTTTTTCCAGAGTAAAACTCCCAACTAAGCTTCAGTCTCGCATCTGAGGGTGCCCAGTCTAGGAAGGGAGAAACTGGGTTTGGGGCAGCACGTAGAGCTCAGACACCGCAGACTCTCATCTGTTTAGTGAGACTGGAGTTGGGGAGAGGTAAGAATCTATGTACTTAACTGCCTTGCCTCCCCTCAGAACAGGAATGAACAAGAGGCAGAAGGGGTTAAAAGGGATGTCTGCTAAGTACAGGGCCTCTCTGGCTCAGTTTAAACGCAGTTGGAACGCAGTGGCAACAGCAATGAAGACTGCTTTAGACACTGGTGCCTTGGTCGCCCACGGGAAAAGGCTTTTGTGAGCAACGTAGGAAGTTCTCTCCCTCACCCCAGTCTCTTTTGTCCATTTTGTTCTTTCCTGCTAATAAGCCACACCAGAAGCGAGGCATTGTGGAAAGGATACTACCCGGTAATGGTACCATTTGCTACAAAAAATTTAGAAAAATTTTGAGTGGTATAAAAAGCAGCAGGGCCTGGCACGTAAGTTGGACCTAAGAGAAATAACTATATTCCCTGTGATAGAAGAACGGAAGGAGTCTCACTGTATGAATCTCAGTGGTTATAGTCAAAAGCTGGAATTATTTGTATCTTGGGAGAGGTATGTGGTATTTAAGGATGTTCGCCTTCCTTTTTTCATGTGTCATCAAGATGGCCTAATAAGCATCTGCCAATCTAGTGGGCAGGGGCAGCGGGCGTGAACTGGAATAGTATTAGAACTCTCTACCCCTGTACGGCCAAGAAGGACCAGACAGGAGGTAGATACGAAACAAAACAAACAAAAACTAGTTGGTGACAAACTAGTTGCCACATCCTACATTCCATTAAAGCTTGAATCTCCCAAAGAAGGGGAACAATAATCCAGGGCAAAAAAGCAAGCATGGCACAAAGAAAAGTCGTCTTTTCCCACAGCAGCTGCTCTGCTGCCTCCTTTGGACACAGTTACTGCTGCATATATGCCTCCCCTGGGATGGCTGAGCCCGGGCTTACAGCTTCCTGCCAACTGGCCGGGCGGGGGGGCACACTGCAGCCTTGGGCCCTTAGACCAATCCCCAGCCAAACTGCTCCTCTTCTTCAAAGGAAAATATAGAGGAGGGGGAAAACCAAGACTCGTGTAACTCTAGTACCTAAAAACAGGAAATTGACAATTCAAGTTACAGACCAGGAGTCCCCAGTGTGGGGAACAGGTCAGGGAACACCAAACATGTCAAATATTAACTTATTTACCAGATAGGGAACCAGGGGGAGGCGGTTCGTTTTTTTTTAGTTCCAGAGATTCTGTACAGAAGCAGAGACCTTTCCATCCTCTCTAGACTGGCGTGGGTGATTATTTCCAATTTATTATGACACACCAATAAGGGACATCAGAGGGACCACAAAGAAAATCAAGCTTGTGCCCCTACCTGGGAACCGGAAGGGGCTTTCGTGCTGTTCGGTGACTGTTCTGGCCCCTGCAGGGGGGAAGCTGCTTGATTACCCAGCTCCTCCTGTGACATCTAGCTCTTCGTTCCGATGGCCCAGAAAGCTCAGTGTTCACTACACAGCTGCCTCTGCGCAGACTTGAGGCCCAGACCAAGCTGGAGCCCATCTCCTTGATTGTTTCCCTTTACGAAATACTTGTACAATCTTTCCCCCCGCCACCCCCCTCCCATTTCCCAAAGACCCCAATAAAATAACATGGGAGCAGCAGGTGCTTCTACAGTTTTGTTTTGAAATGGCGTTAGGTAAAATAGGGAATAAATAGAGAATGGGTAAGAGACAGACGCTCCAGCCCCGCGTCACACTGCCAGGGGAAGTTCCAGTGCAGAATCTTCGGGAGGCCGGTCCTCACTGGGCTGTGAGGACTTGTCCACCCCACAGCCCTCTTCACTGTCCGTGCGAAAGGGGAGGTTGGAGGGGGACCAAGAGGGGCGGAAGTCTTCGTTCTCAGGCTCCTCGGGGCTACAGTCTTCGGGCATGAGCACTTCTAGAGTGGATGACTTCCCCACTTCTGGTTTACAGAGGGCAGCTGGGTCTGTGGAACTGCACGCCACCAGTGAGGTAACAGGGAGAGAGAAGACATTCAGATCCTTCTCCTTGGGGAAAGAAGGTGGGACTTCTTCTGTGCCGGACTCTCCTTTCACCCCCAAGACTGGCCTCTGCTCCACCTGGTAATACACCAGGGGCCCACTGTTCAAGTAGGAGGGGCTGCTCACTGCCGAAGCGGTTGCGTGGTCCGAGTTCTCAGCAAAACACAGAACCGAGGAGCCAGGGGGCAGCTGAGCCTGGATGAGAATGGGGGCGGTGAGGCCCGGGCACAGCTCCTCGGGCACAGCCAGGGGCTCCTCCAGGATGCACACGCCCAGGCTCTCGATGCTGGAGTCCAGGCTGGCGCTGGAGCCGCTGGCGTCTTCCTCCGCCTTGAGCCGCTCCAGTTCCTCCGCGCTCTGCAGGTGCATCACTGCCGTCTCGTTCTCAGCAATGAACTCCTGGAAGTCCTGCGTCTCCGAGCCGTGCGCCCCGGTGAGGCTGCAGGTGGCCGTGGCCGAGGGCTCCTCGTGGAGGGCCAGCGGGCGGCTCACCTGCCTCTTGCTCTCCAGCTCCAGCTTCATGATGGTGTGGAGGTAATGAGTCCGGACCCGGATCGGGTTGAATTCAATGCGCCCAGCCATGTTCCCACAGCCGTCTCGGGAGCAGCCACACGGAAAGGACATGCGATCCACCTGCGAAGGGAACAAAATCGGGAGGCTGAGGCAAGATGGGACCAACAGGTTCAGCCAGGGGGCTAGGAAACGTCTGCTAGCAAATCGAGACTGCTGGGCTTTGCGGTCTTCTCGCAAAAGGAAGAAACCAGCAATTCAAGACGAAATTTTGGGACCGAAGAGATTAAATACTAGGCGTAAGGCACTTGCCACACACCGACACAGCCACTCCTGATTCGATCCCGGGTGCTCCCCCAAGCATACCTGGCGTGATCCCCGAAATGCAGATCCAGGAGTAAGCCCTGAGCACAGCCAGCTGTGGTTCCAAAACCAAAGGAATCATGCAGCATGAGCTAAAGGAGCACTACACTGTTGCAAGGCCACCTGTGTCTGTTATTCGGCAGCTATTAATTAATGTCACTTCAAGGAAGTCCTTTCTCTAGAGCTTTATGTTTTCTCTAACCAAAAAAAAAGATCTAATGTTTATGTCAGAGTTAAAAAAGCTGCAGAAACGTGTGTGCCCCACAGACACCTAGAGATTTTTCTAGGATTCCCCAGCTTTACTCAGAAAAGGCTGGGGCTCAAGCTTATTGCATTCTGCAAGATCTAGTTCAAAGCAAGACATTCTGGAGAAAACTAGGTGTAGAACCTCGATTTGTGAAAGACTATGAGAATGAAGGTTCAAATAGTTACAGCCAATTTTTCATTGCCTGCTTCATATTCCCCTGATCATTGAACAGTCTGGTTCTGTTTTTCTGAGGCCACTCCCATCAGTGCTCAGGGGCTAATCCCAGTGCTGCTTTGAGGGATGGTGCCAGGGGAATCGAACCCAGGTATCCAACAGGGCATGCAAAGCACACACTCCTGATGTCTGAGCTCTCCCCCCAGGCCTGAACACTATGGTTCCGAAACAGTAACCATGGCAACGAATAAGAAAACCAGGGACCTCTGGAAAGGAAGTACCTTCTACCTCTATCTCTTTTATTTCTAGTCGAAACAGGGTGGGAGGAGCTAAAGACTGTGTTAAAAACTGTTAATAAGGACTAGAGATCATACTGCCAGTAAGATGCTTGTCCTGTGTGCATCCAAGGTTCAATCCCTGGTAACCCATGTGGCCTCCTGGACCCCAACCCTGCCACAAAGGATCCCTGACTGCAGAGCCAGGAGTATGTCCTGAGAAGAGTCATGTGTGACCAATAAATTGAAAAAAGGAAAAGAAAAAAAAAACTTAAGCCAAAACCTAAGTACAAATACATAGTATCTTTCCTTTTTTTGGTTGTTTTTTCATTTGGGGGCCACACCCTCTGGTGCTTAGAGTCTACTCCTGGTTCTGTGCTCAGGGATTACTTCTGGCTCTGGTGCTCAGGGCAGCCCATGTGGTGCCAAAATTCAAACGGGCCAGCTGCATGCAAGGCAGGTGCTTTAATTCCTGTCCTTTATCTCTGGCCCTAACATCTTTCTGTTTCATGAATTTACATCTACATTCCTGTTCTTAGAAGACTCCGGTTCTTAGGGGTGCTCTTTGGTCTGTATTTAACAGTCTGGTTCATCATGGGACTTCAGTCAGAAAAATCTGTAGCTAGATCAGCAATAGTACACCAGGTAAGGGGATTTCCTTGCATTCTACTGACCCCGATGCCCCCCATCACTCCTTCCCGGGCCCCCCAAGAAGTGATCTTTGAGCATATAGCAGCCAAAAGTGAGTCCTGGCTGTAGCCCAGAAACCAAAACAAGGAAAAGAAAGGGTAGATGAACATCATAACATCAGTTCAACCACAAGGACCCAGAATCTACATTCCAAATACACAAAGTTGCAGCTGAAATTCATTCTCGGTGATGGTGCTGCTATGTTTGAGTCCTTAAGACTCTTCTTTCAGACCCTTCTTTGTCAGAAGAACAGTCAGGTGGTAATTCTTCTGAATTACGGGATCCAAGAACTATTATAACACTGACAGAGGTACTAAGAGTAACTGTTTGCAAGATACAAACTTGTTCTGCTTCCTTTTATCTCAAAGAACACTGCTACTTCAGGAACAACTACCAATGTTAAACTTACGATCAGGACCTGCCACTTCCTACCCCCCATTTACTAACAGTTGTTGCTTATTGCCCCTGAGAACAGATAATAAACTCAGAGTAGCTCATCGATTTTCTGCAGTTAAGAATCCTATCATGCCTGCATTCTCCCTGGAAAAGGGCTGTGAGAAGCTGGGAGGTTCAGGAATCCACCCGTGAAACCACACCACCAGCCCTGGACTCAAAGGTACCATTTTCAGACCGTTGTGAACTCACCTGGCATTTAATCCCGGCCTGACTACAGGCACATGCCTCTGGGTCACAATACAGTCGGCAGTCACAGCCACACTCTTCCCGTGACAAGCGGATGGCACGAAGTTCCTGCTTCTCCTCCGCGTCGATGCGGTGAACCCCAGAAGCCCTCAGCAGGGCCCGTCGCCGTTTGGTGGGCAGAGGCTGGAGGAAGAAGTAATCATCCACCTCCACATTTTCCACATCGATATCTTCATCTGACACGTCATCTAGTGTCAGGCCATCAGCCTCCACTGACTCCACTGTCCCATTTTTGGTCAACTGCCGACAGACAGGAAGGAAAAGTTAGCCTCTAAAGCAGAGTTTCTCTCAGGCCAGAGCGTGCAGTGGGGAGGGCATTTGATGAAATCCCCAGCCTGTAAACGATGATCTGGAGGTACAGAGAGCTTCATCTTCTTAGAAAGGGGGGGGGGGGAAATGGGTAATTATGGCTATTACAAAAGCTCTCACAGTCTTAGTAATCTGTAGTCGGGAATGGGCGACCTCCCCCTATCTCCCTGTGTTTTCTGGTAGCTTCATAGTCAAGCCCACAAACTGCCTCTGGTACCACACGAGCTCCTTAACGGCTGTGATCCAGAGACTCCCAAATAAATCTCTTGGAAGAGAACAACACAGGATGATACGCCATAGAGAGGCCTCTGGACCCCAAAGTCACCGTCCAGTTAAAAATTACTGTTCTGCAAATGCGGCCATGAGACATCTCATACTCTGTACCACTGATGTAGGAGTAGCACACTAACCCAAACATGAAAGCTTGTAACTATCTCACAGTAATTAATTAAAACAACAACAACAAAACACAGTAGCACACCACATTTTGATGGGGTGTAAAGTAGAAGCAACCCATCTCGGGGAGAGAAGAAAACTATATATATATATATGTGTGTGTGTGTGATGTATAGCACAGTGGTAGGTCGTTTGCCTTGCGTGCAGTTGGCCTGGCTGAGCCGGGTTCGATTCCTCCGCCCCTCTCGGAGAGCCCGGCAAGCTACCAAGAGTATCTCGCCCACACAATAAAGCCTGGCAAGCTACCCATGACATATTCGATATGCCAAACACCGTAACAAGTCTCATGATGGACGTTACTGGGCCCGCTCAAGCAGATCGATGAACAACGGGAGGACAGTGACCCGGTGCTACATACAAGCACACAAGGCTCAACCTTTAATAACATCTTAGTAATCTCTGATACAAGGGCTTAATGGCTCCATGGTAAACAACAATCTGCACACTTTCCTCTAAGATAATTTTTTTGGGATCGTTTTTAGTGGATTATTCATAACAAGCAATATAAAATAAATTATTGAGGTCGTGCTTTGAACGCAGGGTTTGGAAGTCAGGGTGGAAACATTCGAAATATGGTGGTAGGTAGGTGTAACAGAGTGGGATTAGTGTTGGAATATTAAATGTAACAAATTATTGTGAACACCTTTATAAAAATGTAGCACTGTCCTCCCTTGTTCACTGATTTGCTCAAGCCAGCACCAGCAACATCTCACAACAAACTATGAGACTTGTTGTTACTGTTTTTGGCATATCGAATATGCCACGGGTAGCTTGCCAGGCTTAGTGCAGGCGAGATACTCTCGGTAGCTTGCCGGGCTCTCCGAGAAGGGCGAAGGAATCGAACCCGGCTTGGCCACGCTCAAGGCAAATGCCTTACCCGCTGTGCTATCGCTCCAGCCCTCTGAATAATATTCACTCCTAGACATCTGCTTTCCCAACTTAAGCCTCATTTGCCCTTACTTGCCCCAAAAGCAGGGTCCTGACAAGGGACTGAATGGACCCAGGGCAGCTGTGAGCTACTCTGGCATCAAAATGGGTGAGGCCGAAGCGCCAGAATACTCAGCTATAAGTCAAGAGCATGGTCGTGGCCAAGCTCTGTCATGCCTCAAAAGAGGTAACTGGATAAGGAGGAAGACTAACCTGTCCCGAGGACTGTGGTCTGGAATATATAGTGAGATGTCTTCAGGAAGAACCAAACTTTAAGCTTGATCTATCTCTTACTGTGCTCATACAAAATGCCATTGCTAGAAATACTAGAAGTAAATGTACTACAACTATTTAAGAAGAAATATATCTTTTCTTTTTTTAAAAAATTTGTTGTTGGGGCTGGAGTGATAGCACAGTGGGCAGGGCGTTTGCCTTGCACGTGGCCCGACCCGGGTTCGATTCCCAGCATCCCATATGGTCCCCCAAGCACAGCCAAGAGTAATTCCTGAGTGCATGAACCAGGAGTAACCCCTGTGCATCGTTGGGTGTGACCCAAAAAGAAAAAAATATTGTTTTGGGGCCACACCCGGTGATGATCAGGGGTTACTCCTGGCGGTGTTCGGGGGACCATAAGGGATGCTGGGGATTGAACCTAGGTCAGCCACGTGCAAGGCAAATGCCCCAACCACTGTACGTCCTCCTCTGGCCCCGTCCTTTCTCCTTTCTAATCTTTGTTTTTTAGTTTTTGTGCTCAGGTGACCATACAGGATGCCGGTAATCATATGCAAGTGCCTTACTGTTGTATCATCTATCTTTTCAGTCCCTCTCTTTCTGTTGTTTTTTGTTTGGAGTCACACCTAAACAGTGCTCAGGGTTTATGCCAGGCTCAGGGAGCATATGGGGTTCTGGGGATTGAATCCGGGTCAGGTGCATGCAAGGCAAGCACCCTACCCACTGTATTCTCTCTCCAGCTTTCTGATATATATATTTTTTAAATCTGATTTTAGGGAAAAGCTGAGAGGTAGGATGGCATCTATAATCTGAATATACCATCTAAAGGTAGAATCTGGGTTCTCAGCCTAAGAGGGATTGAGAGTCTTTAAAAAGGAACTCAAAGGGAGAGGACAGATTGAAGGCAACAGGTGCTGCATGGATTCTGAAAACTCACCAGAAAAATTCAAGTAAAGGAAATGAGTTCTGATCATCTCCAAGACCCTGCAAGGATGAGAGCCAAGCAAGTGGAGGGTTTGGCTTATTTCATCAGACCAGAGAGGTGCAGGTAAAGGAACGACTCCTGGGAGAAATGTGATGCAACAGCCCCGGGTAACAAGCTACATACCTGTTTGCTTGGGGGAGGGGAAGAAGGGATGGGAAGATGAGGAGAGAAATCAAGGGATGCTTCTCAGGACTCCCAGATCTATGATTTCTATATCAGCAGGCCAACCGCAAGGGCCTTTCCACAGCCCTTAGGACTGCTTCTTTTGCAGCAGTGGCCTCCGCCTAATGCCCTCCCCCCGACCGTCTTCAAAGTAAAGTGATGAGAGATGCGACAGGAAGAAACCCGTGTAGATAAGAATGTGATGGGTCGGAAAATTTCCTAAGCTGGAGCATGTGGGAGTCCTGGCTTCAATTCCCGGCACAGCATGGTCAGTCCCCTGCTCGTCACCAGAAGTAGCCCTATCTACCAATGGACGCGGCTCAAACAAAAGTCATGGCTGAGATAGTACTCCCGATCAGTGAGAAAAAAGAATCTTTGAGGAACTGGGCCAACTTTGTTTTTTAAGAAAAGTGAAAGGGGCTGGAGCGATAGTGCAGCGGGTAGGGCGTTTGCCTTGCGCGCGTCAGACCCAGGTTCGATTCCCAGCATCCTATATGGTCCCCCGAGCACCGCCGGGTGTAATTCCTGAGTGCAAAACCAGGAGTAATCCCTGTGCATCGCCAGGTGTGACCCCCCCCAAAAAAGCAACAAATAAATAAAAAATAAAAATTTAATAATTTAAAAAAGTGAAATAGGGCTTGCTCTTCAAAAGTCCGTGTTCTCACCTGGACACGTATCCTGCTTGCTTGTCTCTGTTTCTTTACTTGCCTACTTCCACTCCGGAGAAGCCTCTGTTCTCTCGTGAACACACACTTCTCCTTTTTTTTTCTCCCCTCACATCTTTCTAAGTAAGTTTCAAAACTTTCTTGCTTTTCCAAAACAAGAAGAAAAAATATAGACAAATTAAAAAAAAAAAAGTGGAAATCTAAGATAATAGAATAATCATAGGTAGCTACAGAAAACCAGTTTTTCCCCCTTTTTTCACTTCTGGTGGCAGCCCCAAAGAGAACAAATATGAGATGGCATATGGAGACGGGGGGAGCAGAACAAATGCTGCTTTTTCTGGAGAATGCTAAAGTAGGAGAAATTTCTATGTGAAGGAGTCACGGCGAAGGCAGAATCGAAGTTTTGGTCCATTTCTTTTGTGCTGCACTAGGCAATGCTTAGGAGCTGCTCGCAGCATGGTGTGCAGGGGCTGCTTCCTGTGCTTGGGGATCCAGTGGTCCCATGAATTCGGTCCTCAGCTTCACAGAGGCAAGGGAAGTGCTATCCCAATGAACCGCATCCCGGCCCAAGACATTTCTCTTGACACGCAAAGATGTATCAGATGCCACCACTGGGGCCACAGAGAGAGTTCAACAGGCTGAGCACGTGTTTTGCACGTGGAGGCCCCAGTTTGATTACTGACATTATGTGGTCCCTGGAGCACTGCCAGGAGCCACCCCCAGCACCAAGCTGGGTATGGCCCAGAAGAGGAAAAAATGCCATCACTGCCTCACCAATCGGTGTAGCAGGTACCCTGCACCTCATCCAAGAGGAGGGGGGAGGCAGCACAGAATGGGATGACATCCTATTTTGACCAACTATTCCCCTATGAGACTTAGGAGAGCCTTCTTCTAGGAAAAGGGAAGAAAGCCTGCATGGCAGACGAGGAGTGTTTGTTTGCCCAGCTGTTGCTATAGCAGCAGAAAGGTGATAGGGTCACGGATGGAATTCCTTGGAAGACAGGAAGCCTGCACATCATTCTGGCTGGAAAAACAGGTGTATGGAGTTGGCTAAGGGGAGGAGATCTTACAGTATCAGGAGGAAGAAAATGAGATCTGCTGAGCCTGATCTACTGAGCCCTCAGCCACCGGCTCATCACTCCACCCCAAACTGGCAAGTCTCACTGGAATTTCTCACACGACCCTGGAAATAAGACTGCTGCTCATTTTTATATGGGTCATGCTCTCGGGGTTAGCACTTTTCCCCTGCACCACTCCCCACCACGCGTGGGCGCTCTCTCTCTCTCTCTCTCTCTCTCTCTCGCTCTCTCGCTCTCTCGCTCTCTCTCTGGTCTGATCTAAAGCAGTGTTCCTCAAATTTGGACCAGGCCATTCCCCGAGGCTAATGTTCTGAACTGGTGGAGACTGACTGGAATGACAAATGCTGCTAATACTGCAAACGGAGAGATGCAAGGAGCCATCTGAGATGGTCTTCAGCCTGCCCTGCTCGCCTCCTAAATGAAAAGGGACGAGCTCGGGCAGCGCCAGAGGGCAGACCCAGTCTCCTGCCACTAACAACGTGAGATAACTGTTTGCCGATGCTGAGGCTGATACGTAGAAGACTCCACAGCTAGACACGGCAGAGGTAACACAAACAGCGAACTCCTGAGAGCATCCAAGATCCAGAACTGTTCTGCGCATCAGAGCCAAGGACAGGCATCTGACAAGAGGCCCTACACTGTGCTCCCCACTGCCTGACCCGAGAGTCTTTAGGCACTCACGTCCTCAAGGGAAAACCACCTACGAGAAGGACGAGGAAGCCATTTTGTTGTCTGCACACACACTACTAGAGACAGTAAGACGGGTGTCTCAGACTGAAATCTGAATCTAAATCACAGACATCTCATAGAAAAATGTAAAATCTCTCTATGCCAAAGAAAACAATCAAGTCAAAACAAAATTCAGTGGACCTAGATGGTTCCCACTTGACTGCCAGATCCCTGCCACCCCGTAGGCACCTTCATCTTCTTGGCGTGGAGTTTCTCCTCCTTCAGATGCTCACGAAGAATCTCCCGATGGTTCACCTCCTGCTCTTGAGCAAACTCACACAGGGTGTAGCTTCGCACAGAGTTATGGCGCTGGGCCATGCCCAGCGAGCTGCCACCCTGGCTGGGCACACTGGTGAAACCCTGGCGCCGGGCAAAGTAGTACACCGTCACCTGGTCGAAGCGAACATTCTTCCTCCGCAGCTGCTTCTGCCGCTTCAGGATGGATGTGGCTGAGAAGAGAGCACAGAGCAGTGAGGTAAAGCATGGAGGCCTGCCTGGGGACCTCAGCTTGCCCGGCTCTCAGCTCTTCTCCAAGTGCTCCCTGGAGACACACAGATCTCTGGTCCTCCAGCCGTCAACTGCAGTAGGAGGGGATCAGGAACCTGAGGTAGTCCACACCGGGCTGACTTTACCCAAACACTCTCTTTAGAACATCTGCTGGGAAGATCTCTAGGTAATCCTTCAAGGCTATAATAAGCTCTTCAGACTCACTTTTCATTCAGTAGTTATTAGCTGCAAGTGGCACTTTAAGTTTCGGTAAAGGAAAATTGAAAACTCAGCTCCTCAGTTACACTAATCACATTTACATAATCAACAATCTCATATGACTACCATCTAAGAGTTTGTTTTTGGGCCACACCCAGCATTGCTCAGGGTTCGCTCTTGGGGCGAACAGGGCCCGGCAGATCATATGGGTGCTAGGGACTGAGTCTGGGTAAGCCATGTGCAAGGTAAATGCCCTACCTGCACTGCTGGACTACCACTTGGGCCTCATACAAGACATTTTTTTTTAAATTTTTAATAGTGAGACATCATGAGGTACAGTTGCAGACTTACACATTTTTGTGCTTGGGTTTCAATTATACAATGATCAAATACCCATCCCTCCCACCAGTGCCCATTTCCCACCACCACAGATCCCAGTATCCCTCCCACCCCCCATCCCCCCCCATCCCACCCTGCCTCTGTGGCAGGGCATTCCCTTTTGTTCTCTCTCTCTTATTAGGTGTTTTGGTTTGCAAAAGAGGCAATGGGTGACAATCATGTTTAGTCTGTAGTCTACTTTCCACATGCTTCTCCCATCCTGGGAGGATCCTCCCAACACACTTTATTTGGTGTTCCCTTCTCTATCTGAGCTCCCTTTTCACCCTAGTATGTGTGGTTGGCCTCCAAGTCATGGAGTAAAATTCCTGGTACTAATCTCGGCCAATCTTGTGTGTTAGTCTCCTATTGTGTTATTTTATGTTCCCCAGATGAATGCAATCTTTCTATGTCTATCCCTTTCTTTCTGAGTCATTTCGCTTAACATGATACTTTCCATGTAGTACCACTATACAAGACATTTTTAACACAACAAAATTCTATCAGACTACACTGACCTATACAGAAGGCAAGCTTTTTCTGAGAAGGGCCAGACAGTAAATATATTAGGCTTTTTTTTTTTTTAAAGATCTCTCTTGCAATTATTACTCCTGTCCACCACTGAGCATGAAAGTAATCAGACAATAAGTGTGGCAGCATTCTGATAAAATTTATTTATAAAAACAGGCAGTAGGTGGGGTGGGGGGGGATATTATCCATGGTGGTGGAAAATGGGCACTGGTGGAGGGATGGGTATGTGATCATAGTATGACCGAAACCCAAGCACAAAGATTTGTATATCTACAACTGTACCTCATGGTGCTTCACTAATAAAAAAAAAATAGTTTAAAAAAAAAACAGGCAGTAGGTTAGATAAGTAAGCCCTGATTTATCCTGCCAGAAGTTATTTCTGGGCCAAGCATGGAGCTGAGCGCAAGGAAACGTACCTTGCATGTGCGAGGTCCTGGGTTCCATTTCCAGAACCACGAAAATAAGTTAAAGTTCTTTCCAAGAACTATTGAGTCATGAAGTAGCGATAGCACAGCGGTAGGGCGTTTGCCTTGCACGCAGCCAACATGGCCGACCCGAGTTCGATTCCTCCGCCCCTCTCGGAGAGCCCGGCAAGCTACCGAGAGTATCTCGCCCGCACGGCAGAGCCTGGCAAGCTCCCCGTGACGTATTCGATATGCCAGACACAGTAACAACAAAGTCTCCAATGGAGACGTTACTGGGCCCGCTCGAGCAAATCGATGATCAACGGGAGGGCCTTTACTTTACTTTTTATTGAGTCATAATAATTAATATATCTAGAGTTGTCCATCTGTCCCTGCGGCAACACTTAAGTTCTGCTGCAATTACAATTTTGCGGAATTCGGAATTACTCCTGAAATTTTTTAATTCAACCCATCCCGCACGCACCAATCCCAGCATACATAAAATGAGCTAGAATAAATAAGACTTCAGCCTATGATCTGAGAGCAATGGGGTACTTTAAACAAGACTGGACAGAGAGCAGCGAAGAGGCTGATGAAGGGTAAATCCCTAAACTAGCTGGAAGAAAGATCTCAAGACCCAGAAGGGGTCCTGCTGGGGTGTGGGGTCAGAGGGTGCTGGGGGGGTTATGTGTAGGCGGGGAGGGCAGCACACTCACGTGTAAAGCTGGCAGTTGTCGGAGGATTGAGGCTGTCGCAGCTGTCAGCACTGTCACTGCTAGAGATCTCATCGTCAGAGTTGGAAACTGATGAGCCCACATCCACATCATCGAACTTCCTCTTGAGACTCGAGCCCGTGAATGCATCCATTGGTTTCAAGGGGGTTTCCTTGGGGAGCCCACTACGTTGGCCCCAAAGCCCCTGCTCACCACCGGCTAGTCAGGTGCGTTAGCATTCTGCCCAGGGGAAAAGAGGAATCAGCAAGCCTGAACGCAGAGAGCCCTCACCCCCACCTACACACGCACTCCTCCAGCTGACGCAGAGACCCAAGCTGGTCGTGACATCTGGCCTCTCAAGACTAGATCACTACTTCTGCAGCCAGCATTCTTCTACTTCTGTTCTCCCTCACCGTCCAACCTTTTAGAATAACGAGATGCAAAGAGGCAGCACCTTTCCCAGGGGAGTTAAGGCCTTTGGTTCCAAGCCAGCTGGGCTCTAGGCTTCATTAGCCTGGAGAAAGCAGCAGCAGCTCCTCTGGTCACCAGGAGAGCTCTCCAAGGGGCAACAGGAGGGACCGGGGATCAGAGGCAGAATTAGGTTGCCTAAATGTAGACTAGATCCAATTATTTTTCCTAGGGAAAATATAGCCTGGCATTTCCCAAAGAGTGCATACATAAAGAAGATATCCGTATTAAAATAGACTCCAGATACATAAACTGCTTCTGGAAGACCTCAGAGAAGTTTCGAATCGGAATGAGTACGGGGCTAAGTGGCAGGGAACACAGGATTCAGGATTTCACACACGCGCTGACTATAGCCTTGAGTTTCCAGAGTATTTAAAGAACAGTGATCCTTGTAACACACTTTGAGAAATGCTGCTTTTGACTCTCAATTTCAAAGTGTATCCAGATCTTCACAAGTATAAAGTGTCCCACTGAGGCTCCCAAAAAGGTCCAATTTAATTCGAAAGAATAGACTGCAGATTAGAATCTGCACTGGATTCAAAACCCAGAATCTTCTCCAACGTCATACTGCTCCAAAAAACAGGGCCCAGCCACTTTATCATCCTTCACTGTGCAAGGAAACTTAGCTCTGAATCTTCGTCCTATATAAAGACACTAAAGCAAGGGGGGAAAAAAGCCAGCAAAAGTGACAAATCACTTGAGTCACATCAAGACAGCAGTGCTCGGGCTGGAGCAATAGCACAGTGGGTAGGGCATTTGCCTTGCACACGGCTGACCCGGGTTCAATTCCCAGCATCCCAGATGGTCCCCCGAGCATCGCCAGGAGTAATTCCTGAGTGCATGAGCCAGGAGGAACCCCTGTGCATCGCCAGGTGTGACGCGCAAAAAAAAAAAAAAAAAGACAGCAGTGCTTTCAACCTGCTGACACCAAAAAGTCTTAAGACGGTCCATTTCCCAGGTACGAATCTTTCTCTTTTGGTCTCGGATCTTAAGTTCCCATGGATCTGAATCTCCATCAGCAGCAGAAATGCTGTCAAGGGTTAGAGCCACATGCAGCGAGAGGAAGCCTGCCCTGCTCTGCCTCACTCTTGCCAGCAGCTCCCCAGACTATGATCTCACTAGTTGCTAATTATGCAGAAGGAATAACAACATTGCCCAGAAAGACAGGGCTGCATGACTGCCGAGCAGCCACCCAGAATATACTGTAGTGGCGAGAGGTGCCTGCTATAGGGCTCTTGTTCCCAACTGTCCCTTGAAAGCCATTTGCCTGCTGTGAGACCAGCTCTCCAGCCAACCAGATCTACCAAGAATTTGAGAGAAGATACTGTCTTATTTATTTATTTTTCCAAATTGCATCAAAATTTCGCACTCGAGTCACAAATGAACTTAAGAAATCCCTTAGCCACCCTAAGCCTCAGACCAGCATCTTCTTGAAACAAATCTGGCCAGGGAGGGGGAAAAAAGGAATAAAGGAATTGATAAGAATTGTGATTAAATCATACAGCTAATCCCCAAGTATCAGTTTTGTTCTTGAGGTTTCTCAGCGTACTGTCCATCAGAGGTCACATTCCCAGGACGTGTAAAAAAGGAGAGGAGGAGGAGGGCCAGCGCGACAGCAGAGGGCAGAGTGCTCGCCTTACACAGCCCACCTGGATCTGATCCCTGGCACCCTTATAGCACCCCCCCCCATGCCCACCAGGAGTGATCCCTGAGTGCAGAGCCAGGAGTAGGCCCTGAGTACCACTGGGTAGGGCCCTCCACAACACCCCCCACCTCCAATATAAGAGGGGCAGAGCTCGATAGGCCGAGCACTTGCCTCGCCTGTGGGAGGCCTGAGTCACCCAACACCATCAGGAATGACTCCCAAGCACAGTGCCACCTGCAAACCCTCACATTTTAAAAGAATGAGGGGAGTCTCAGACTTTTTAATGGGTTAAGAGTTTGGAGGGGCATAAAGGTGTCTACTAATGGGGGCCACAGCAACAGTATAGTGGGTGAGGCACTTGCTTTGTATGCATAGGACCTGGGTTCAATCCCCAGCACCCCTTATGGTCTCTGCACTTCTGCCAGTGATCCCTGAGTGCAGAGCCAGGAGTAAGGCCTGAGCATCACTGGGGCAAGAAATCAGTAATCACAGTCCATTTTTAGAGGTCAGGTAACCTCTGCGTCTGAGAACTCATACGGATGGGATTTTCAAAATAAGAGAAAATGTTGATGACTGAATTAAATCTTTCCCTCTCCACCTAGAACCCTTAAGAAAAAAACCACACGTAAAATTAGATGGAGGCAAACATCTGCTCTCTCAGAAAGGCTTTAAATTCAGCTTCAGTTTTAACTAAGATCCGGTTGCTGCTGCTGCTACTACTAGGAACGAGGCCTGTTGGTTTGTTTTTTGATTTTTTTTGGGGGGAGGGGCTTTTTTTTAGCGGGAAGCACTCAGGCATTTAGGACTGTAAGCACATTTGTGAAACTCCTTTCAGCCCAGCATGCGGCTGGGTCTGGTCCCAAATCATCTTTGGTAGTGGAAGTCTCCAGTTTTAACCCCATTGCCCTCAGGGGTATCATTTTGGTGTGCTACGATGCAGCACATTTGTTCACTGCTTCTCCCACTCTCCTTTGCCCTTTTCCCCTGCCTTCCCACCTCCACTTTGGGAGCAGGTAAGGAAGGGAGGTCGGGAAGAAGCAAAGAGGACGGCCAGAGGTTTAGTGCAGTGCTTTCGGGCACTTGCATTGCACAGGGCAACCTGGGTTGGATCCCCAGGATCTCATATGGTCCCCTGAGCACTATCAGGAATGATTCCTAAGCACAAAGCCAGGAGTAAGCCCAGAGCATCATACCACGTAGCCCCCAACAAACCAAACAAAAAGCAAACAGGAAAAAAAGAAATCAAGCTTAAGAGAAAAATCTGAATCTGTCTCCGTGTGTAAATGTATCCCTTAGCTCCTTCGTCTTCCTTAGGATCTGTGAGCAACACTACCCCTGACATTAAGATCAAAAATTCATCTAGTCTGTTTAATTTTCAACCTAGCTCTCCATTCTCCAGCTCCCTGCCGAGAAATTGACTTGTTTGGTAAAGATGTTTGGGAGAAGCCACCAAGGACAAACCACCCCTCGAACTTCCAGGATGCCTGAAGAGATCTTTCTTTGCACTAGCAAAAACCAGAATAGGTTCCACACTCTCCAGTTCAAGTCAACTCTTCAAGACACAATTCGAATCAGTCATTCCCACCTCTCCCAACTGTACACTAGCAGAGGATCAATGCCTGAGTTCAAGAGAAACTCATGAATTATACCCCAAGCCTGAAGAGAAATAATCAAAGTGAGCCTAGAAATGCAGGTCATAACTGACAGATAACAGCCAAAGTAACCAACGTGAACAACAAATGCTTTTGGACAAAATAAGACAAACCTCCATAAAAGCTTTTAAATGCCAGCAAAATGAAAATGTCAGGACTATACTTCCTGGCTACATGCCTTATGGTCCTTCCTCAAGGGTTTCTAGCTTGAGCATTCCCCAAAGGTATATGAAATAATTCTAATCGCCAGAGTACACAGAGGATTATTAGGCCAACACCAAGTAAAATAGATGGAGATCGTGTGTATTTATTGCTAGAGCTAAACCTTTTCAGGCTGTGAGAATTCCTCTAGCACCCCTCCCTGGCTGCCCCTCCCCCAAAAGCACGAGCAAGAAGGACTGGCATGAAGAGGTAGGAATTACAACGAAATACATACGTATTTGTAAAGTAATTAAAGTTTCCATCTTAAATGAGTCCAAAATAATTAGGTACACACCTCAAGGGAGAAAACATCTCTGCTGTACTGGAACTCAACTTCTGCTAAAGGTCAAGGGACCAAAATCCCTAAATCTGTATCAAGGTTACAGGAGAACAGGCTTTGCGGCTGAGCATGAGGGTAAACCTGAATAGATGACCTGTCCTCTGGGGCAAGAGACAGGAGGGAGGTCGGGTGCTGGCCTTGAAGGCTGCTACCTAGGTCGGATTCCTGGCATCCCAAATGGTCCCTCAAGCCAGGAAGGGTCCTTGAGTGCAGAGCCAGGAGTTAAACCCTGAGCACTGCTGGGTGTGGCCCCCAGACCAGAGGACAACAAAAATGACCTGTCCCATTTCTCTTTTTACAGGGTACTGTGGTTCACTGGCGGTGCGCGCTGTGGATCTGTGAGTCCTCGTGATTTACTCTGGGGACCGTGAACTTACAAAGTGCTCGAGTGAAAACACCCTCCGGTGTAAACCAGGTGTTTGTGGGGGCCCTCCTCCAACCCTCGCCCCCTGCTCTGCGCCCGCTCGCTGACCAAAGGTCAAGACTCGGCCCCCGCTACCTCGCCCACGATCCGCGGGGGAGACACAAATCTCTGATGCTGCAGGGACGAACCACCAACTCTCCCTGTGCAAGTCTGACACAGGCCACCACCTCCCTCCGACTCGGGGATGCGCGAGATGGACAGCCGGGAAGAGCGGGGTCCGAACGGGCCGTGGATTTACCTGGGGCTGAAAACCGTAGGACAAGGGGACACTGGGCCCCGCGGGGACAACTTCTACCATTGCCCACGGAAGAACGGCTTGTCGGACACACAGCCACTCTCCACCCCTCTACAAGGATGCATCAAGACCGGGACCCCCAAAAGCATGAATGCAGGGCAGGCGGTCGGCGGCGGCGTGCTGGGGCCTGTGAAAAAGGATCGCGCTGGCACCGGGCGAGGACGCTTTCGCTTTCCCCCCGGGAGGCAGCGGGGGGCGCGGGCCGAGCATCCCCCTCGCCCCCCGGGGTCCGTCCCCGCCCGGCCTGGCGCATCCCCGCCCGGCGGCGGCGGCGGCGGCGCCTCCTCGCCCCGTCCCCGCGAGCCCCCCGCCCCGCCCGGCATCACCTCCGCTCCCCTCCGAACTCGACCCTCCTCCTCCTCCTGCTCCTGCTCCTCCTCCTCCTGGGGGCTTCCAGGCGGCCCCAGCGGTCGCCGCGCGCCGCCCCCCGCGGGCCGCGGCTCCCACGCCCCGGCCGCCCCCGCCGGCCTCCCCGCCCCCCGGCCGAGCCCTCGCCCCGCGCCGCCCGGCGCTGGCCACTCCCCCGCGCCCAGCCGGGCCGGGCCGGGCCGGGCCGCGGCGGCCCCCTCCGCCCGCACCCCCAGGCCCATTACCGGCCCCGCCGCAGCTGCCTCCTCCCGAGACGGTCGCGGCCGCCCCCGGCTGCTGCCGCCGCCGCCGCCCCGGCCCGGCCCGGGCGGGAAGGGAGGGCGAGAGCGCGGCCCGGGGAGTCCTGGGGCGGCGGGCGCACGGGGAGGCCGGGCGGGCGGGCGGGCGGGCGGGCCGGCAGGCGGCGGCGGGCGGGCGGCTCCGGCAACGCGGGGCCCCGGCGGCAGCCGCCCAGAACCGCCCCGGCGCCGGCTAACAATAGGCTCCGGCCGCAGCGCTCCGGCTCTTATAGGCGCCGGCACGTCCGGCCCGGGCCGCGGGGCAGGCTGGGAAATGGAGTCCGCGCGCCGCCCGCCCCGCGCCCCGCGGCTTGCCGGGAGTTGGAGGCGCGACCCGCCCCCGAGGCAGCGCCGGGGCCGACCCGAGGCGGGGCGCCAGGGGGCACGCGGAGGGCGGCTCGGGGGCGAGGGTCCGGCCGGACCCGCCCGTCCCTGGGCCCGGGGCCCCTCGCCCCCGCCGAGGAGCGCGGACCCCGCGGCTGGCACGCAGCCCGCCCGCGGGAGGGAGGGAGGCGGGCGGGAGCATCCCTGCTGGGTACCCGGGTGTCGGGGGCGCGGACTGCGGGGAGGCCCCGGACCCAGCGTTTCCCCGGGTCTCGCGTCTTCCCGGCTTTGAAGTGGGAGGGAGGCGAGGACCCGCTTTCAAAACCAAGTTGCGGGGCTGGAGCGAGAGCACCGCGGGGAGGGCGTGTGCCTGGCACGCGGCCCGACCCGGGTTTGATTCCCAGCATCCCACAGGGTCCCCCGAGCACCGCCGGGAGTCGTTCCTGAGTGCACGAGCCGGGGGGAACCCCTGTGCATCCCGGGTGTGACCCAAAAAAAGCCAATCAATACATAAAAACGAAGTTGTGGGGCTGGAGCGATAGCACAGTGGGTTCGATTCCCAGCATCCCATAGGGTCCCCCCGAGCACCGCCAGGAGTGATTCCTGAGTGCACGATCCGGGAGGAACCCCTGTGCATCCCGGGTGTGACCCAAAAAAGCCAACCAATACATAAAAACGAAGTTGTGGGGCTGGAGCGATAGCACAGTGGGTTCGATTCCCAGCATCCCATAGGGTCCCCCCCGAGCACCGCCAGGAGTGATTCCTGAGTGCATGAGCCAGGAGCAACCCCTGTGCATCGCCGGCTGTGACCCAAAAAAGCCAATTAAAAAAAAAATTAAAACGAAGATGTGGGGCTGGAGTGATAGCACAGTGGGTTCGATTCCCAGCATCCCATAGGGTCCCCTGCACATCGCTGGGTGTGACCCAAAAAGCAAAAATTAAATAAAAACGAAGTTGTATGACGTTGAGTGTCATGTGCAGGAAGGTCAGCCTTGCCTTTCCCGGCTCAGAAGACAGGCGCATTCCCTGGCCTCACAACCACTCCAGTCGTGCCATCTGTTCCCCAATCCCCCCCTTCCACAAGCCCCCTTAACTCTGCAGCTCACCGGGCTCCACAGGACAGCCGGCCACAGAGTCAGCTCCTCTATTTGCTCCACTGGCCCTTGACTACAAACTCCCCCTAACCGTGTCCCTAAGCGGGTGTTTCCCTCTAGTCTCGATGCCCTTGTCTTACATATCTCTGTGTTTGCCACCAGATTTATATGTCTTCCAGTCTTTCCTGACAGCAAGAAATGGTTCTGTTCACTGTGTCCTCAGCACTTAGTACAAAGCCTGGTATTTGACCTTTAGGAGTTCAGTAGATATTTACTGGCTATTCACTGATGGAGGATGGCTGAGTTAAAACTCAGATAAGGCTCTTTCCAAAGCCAGGTTCAAGTGCAAACAAGATACTACTACTGCAGCAGCCCTACTGATTATCGAGCCATCTCAGTTTTAGAACTCAGAGAAGTTGGGTTCAGAAGGTGCGTGAGCACCACAACTCAGTGAGCGAACACATGAGAGCATGTGTGCAAGAATAAACCCCACAAGCACCATGGCTGAACGTGCAAGCACAACCTAGTGTGTGTGACCTCTGGTCACAGCATCAAAAATGGCAACGAAGGGAAGGGAAGTGAGGGACAATGAGAGAGATTGGGCGACTGAGAAAAAAATGCCAAGAATTCTAGTCCTCTCCCCTAAGTGACATGGGACCCCAAGAAGCTAAGAAACAATGAATTTTTAAAATGAAATGCAGATCACACAAAATATCGATTCTTAGGGCGACAAGCATGAGTAATTTCCCTATTGGCTGAAATTTAGGTATGATAGAACATGGGATCAAAAGTTTGTATCCATGGCCAGAGTACAGCATACAGAGCACAGTCAGTAGGGTGCTTGACTTGCACACAGCTGATTCAAATTTGATCCCTAGACCCTACTATGGTCCTCTGAGTCTCACCAGGAGCCTCATCTAAGAGCTGAGCCAGGAATAAGCCCTGAGCACTGCTGGGTGTGGCCCAAAACAAAAAAGATTATCCTGGGGCCATATCACCCGAACATAAACCCCAACTCTACTCACTAGTGGTCTGACCCTTAGCAAAATATTTAACTTCCTCATCTGCAAAAATTTATGTATGGCATGCAGTTCTGTGAAGAGTAAAATATTTTTAACCTCAGTGCTGTGTAAATGTTCATGATTCTATTTTTCTTGAATGCACAAAAACAAACTAGAAGAGGGATGGGACCAGAGCAATCTGTAAAATCAGCAAATTTAGCAACAAAACAGATACACAAGAGTGAAGCCTAAAGGTTATGTTGACCAGGCTAAAAATGTCTCATAAGACCACACATGCAGAATTTGAACTGTCGGAATAATTTGTCAGGGTACCATCAACTTCAGTGCCTACTTTCTTGACATAAAACTATTATAGACGTTAAGGGACCTTGCATGTGTTCAACTCCAGTTCAATCTCCAGCACCACACATGATCTTCTGAGCACCACTAGGAGTGATCCCTGAGAAGAAAGTCAGGTGATGGCCCTATGCACTAGCAGGTGGGGCTCCAAATCAAGCAAAAACAACCCAATCTCTAAGATAGGATCTGATTTGGTAATAAGCTCTAGATCTCTCAAAAGATCAAGCGGACTTCTAAAATCACATTATCATGGTTACTTTTTCACCGTATTTCACTGATGCTCACTGGACAAGTTACTACAATGGTGCCAGTTTGCCAGTAGTAACCACAGTTTTGCTTCTCACCTAAGCAGGGTGTCTGGAGGCATATGAAGCTAAAGCCTAGTAGAAAGGAAGTGCAAATATTAATATGTAAAACAAAAATCGAATTTCCAATTCTAAATGCTACTTTGTTCTAGACCATGCTATGAAATAAATATTTCATGCTATAAAACAAGTCCTATGTACAGGTTCCTCTGTTCTGAAGCAAAACAACGTGCAGTGAAAACATCCTTGATGGGTTAATGTTCATCATCAACCAGGATTTTTTTCATATCAACTCTGTAACAAACAATATTGGATGAAATCACCTTACTGCAGGGCTGCTGCTGTTTGAGCCAATTCAAAATACACAAATTACAGATGGGTGGTTTGTTTTTAGACCAAGACATTAAAGTGGAATAGGAAAACATCTGACCAAGAATAGCAGTCACAGATGGAAACAAAAGTCAGATGTCATGGCCCACAAGTAGAGATCATTGTGGTCACCAGTATCTCGGGGGTCAGGGATGTGGCTGAGTTAAATGCATTCCCTGAATATGTACTGTTGTGTTTAATCCCTAGCACAACCAGAATAAAATAAAAAATAGTCCTGAGTTCAAGTAAATTGTTTCATTATTCTTTTTAGTCTTCTTCAAAACCATGAGTATCTCCATTTAAAAAAAAAAAAGTTTTAGGGCTACACCCAGTTGCGTTCAGGACTTACTCCTAACACTGCACTTAGGCATTATTCTTGGCAGGGCACAGGGGACCATATGTGATGCCAGGTATTGAACCACTGGGTGTGGTCCAAACCCTTCCCACCAGCCCCAAAATGATCTTCACTCTTTTCACTTTCTACTGAATTCTTTTTTCTGTGAGGGAAAGCTGATGGGACCCAGATCACCTGTGCCAAAGACTGGCTTGACTTTCCTTCAAAGAGCAATTTCATTGAAGCCCGAGTTCACAGCTCCCTGAGAAATCGGGTGGCAGGGATCAGTCTCCACAACGTGCATAACAAGTCAAGTTCATGCATAACTTGACAGCTGCCTCATGGGACTGGTGGGATGTGAGTATCTGTGCCCTGTGGGTGCTTGCAGCGGACTTTACTAGTCTCAACCATGTCAGGCATTTTGCCAAGTGCTGGTGGCCAAGGTGAGTAGAGCAGAGAGGTGGAAGACTCGATTCTCTTCTACCTTCCTTGCTCCCAACCTTACCAAATCATCGGCAACATATGTATTACATATATACCCTATTGAAAAAGTAAACCACAGCTGAAGGGATAGTACAATGGCTAAGGAACTTGCCTTGAGTGAGGCTGACCTGCCTGGTATCCATGAGTGACCCCGCCCACCCCCCTAGTAATTTCTGAGCATCACTGCATGTGGCCAAAAGCCAGAAGAAAAGAAAAAGTAAAACAGATTTGAGAAGTAGAGAGCAAGGGAGTTTCAAGTTTGAATAATACGCACCAAGGATGAGGCCTAAGAGATAGTACAGTAAGGTGCTTGCTTTGCATGCGACTGGTCATGGGTTCAATTCCAAGCACCCCAGCACCGCCAGGAGTGATTCTTGATTTTTTTAATTTTTTGCTTTTGGGGTCACACCCAGCGATGCTCAGGGGTTATTCCTGGCTCTGCACTCAGGAATTACTCCTGGCGGTGCTTGGGGGACCCTATGGGATGCCGGGGATCGAACCCAGGTCGGCCGCATGCAAGGCAAACACCCTACCCGCTGTGCTATCGCTCCGGCCCCAGGAGTGATTCTTGAGCACAGAGCTAGGAAGACACCTTAGCACCACCAGATATGACACCAAAAAAACAAAAAATAAATTAAAAAGCACAAAGGAGGTAAATGATAATCTGAATCAAAGTTATAAAGAAGCTAGGAAAGATGTTAGCTAAATCCTTAATGAAAAATAAGACATTAGGGGCTGGAGAGATAGCACAGTGGGTAGGGCATTTGCCTTGCATGCGGCTGACCCAGGTTCGATTCCCAGCATCCCATATGGTCCCCTGAGCACCGCCAGGAATAACCCCTGTGCATCACCAGGTGTGACCCAGAAAAAGAAAAAAAAAAAGACACTGGGAGTCAGGAGACAAAAAAATTTGCAGTGAATGAGGAATACCACCTCTTATGTAAAATGAATATTTAAACTTCCATCATGTTATTACTCATTTTCCAAATCCCATATAATGCAAAACAGTGCAAAAATATAGTAACTAGTATTTTTTTTAAATAGCAAGTTCCTTTCTAATTGACATTAATCCAATTTGAAATTTTAATTCATGTACACCTTTAATTTCTGAATAAGAGTACAAATGATGGATTTGGTTGCAATTTTGCATGGTCATGTGAATAGACTTATTCACATGAATAACAGGGGAATACATAATGAATAAGAGGAAACCTGAATGGCAAAGTGGAGGAAGGATTGAGATAAAAAAAAAAAAGGGTGATCTGGAAATAATTGGAAGTTTAAGGATAAAAATAAATGACAAGATCAATTAAAGAAAAATGCAAGGAGATGAGGTTAGACAGATAACAGCGGGTAGGGCACTGCATGTGGTCAACCTAAATTCAATCCCCAGCATACCATATGGTCACCCAGGTAACCAGCAGAAGTGGTTCCTGAATGCAGAGTCGAGAATAACCCCTGAGCATAGTCAGGCCCCTGTCCCATGCCCACAAAAAAAGCAAGAAGAAATAAAGTATCACTGAATCAGAAAAAAAACAGGTACCGATCAACCTCATACATGACATCATTTCCACCTCATTTCACTTTGCAGTAGTAGTAATGCTTTTTCAGTCTAAGAATTTGAATAAAAGCTTAATCCTAAAGTATTTTTAGGAGAAACAGAATGACGTGGGATTATTCTGTATGAATCAGCATATGAATGATGCAGCTAGGTGGAGCATTTGTGCCATTCCTGTTGAGATTAGAGTTCTCAGGACAGACCAATGGAGGGCCAGAGAGGTAATACAGAGGCGAAGATACTAGCCTTGCACCCGGTCAACCTAAGCTTGATCCCCCACATCCCATATGGTGCCTAGAATACTGCCAGGAGTGATTTCTCAGCAAAGCCAGGAATCACCCCTGAGCATTGCCATGTGCCACCCTCCCCCCGAAAAAAAAAAAAAAACCAATAGAGACCCTAACAGATCCAATTCCTACAGAACCATCTATGGCCAAGCATACAAACTCATGATTTAGCGAAATGAAAAAATGGCTCATCTTCAATTCTTTGAATTGCTACAAATTGGGCACGGACAAAACTACAAGTGAGAGTCAGGGAGATAGCTCAGAGGGCCAGAGCACAGGAGCCAAGCATTCAATCCCCTGCACTGCACGATGGTCCTCTACAAACTGAGAGCAACCCCTGGCTGCCTGGTATACCAGAAAAATAAATGAATAAATAATAATGAAGCAACACCTAACTTCAAATATTGAAACTCCAAATCTGTATAACTTTGAAAGCTGAATAAAGCTTTTTGGGTTTTTTGAGCTACACCTTATGGTCTTCGGGGCTTATTCTTGGCCCTGTGCTCAGGGATCACTCCAAGGTGGGTTCAGAAAACCACAGAGTACTGTGGACCGAACCGGAGTCTGCCACGTGCAAGGCAAGCACCTTACCCACTGTACTATCTCTCCCGTCCCTGCATAAGGCTTCACTGAATCCTTAACGATGGAATTTCTATATCAACCATATTCAAGAGACTTTCTTGGAATGCAAGAGGACAGACAAAGTTTTCAAAACACTCCTTCATCAGAACTGGTTAGATCTATTATGTCAAGCCTTTTTCCATTTGCTCACAGTATAGACTTAACCAAATCTGGACTATCTATCCAGTCCCTGGATAACCATCAGAGGATATTCCATGTATAACTGTCCCTAACATCCGGAAACCAAAATATCTGTGCCCTCATATGGACTTTACTTCACAAAGTCTTGAGAAACTGTCTTCTTGTTTTGTGTTTTGTCTTGTTTGGAGATGGAGTGGGAGGTGTGAGAAGACAGGATCAGGCTTTTAAGAGAACAAACTTCTCTGAAGCACAGAAATCAACCCTAGACACGCAATATAGCTAGATATGTACCCTGCAAACTGGGATATGTTAATCATTTGCTATTTATTTATTTATTTATGTAGGAGTACTGCTACTTATTCAATCATTTGCTTTTTTAAAAGCTATTTTGGCCTAACATGTCAAGTTGCCCAGATGTAAGTTTTAAATACCAAGATTCAATTTTCCAGTGTAAAAGTTTTCCATTTCCTTCAAACCAAAAGAAATCAGGCCATGTTGCAGGTTTATTTTAATGAACAAAAACCTCTGTATAAAAACATTTAAAACGTTATCAAATGCATTAAAACACACATACACACAGGTCCAAACTCAATACAGAATCTTGAACATTTATCCTTTTTTTCACTTCAACATAACATGTAAAGGGATTTCTGGATACAACTTTACATGTGGAAAAAAAAAAAGTTTTACACACAAATACCCAATGTCAGAAGAGTGAATGGGCTCGGAATGAATTTCTTGCAAAGGTTATAAAAGAGAACACTGTACGAGTAAAAGAACTTCAATATCAAGAGAAAAGGCAGACAGAAACGTGGAGAAGGGAGAGGACATTTCATTCATAGTCTGAGCGGTCATTCAATTAGAGTGAATTTAGGGCACTATAGATAATCCCTAGTTTTTCACCACCTTAAAAATTCTATAAATCTGGTAAGTGTTGATACTTAACAAGGAGCTGTGGGTTCATTTTTGGTAGGCCCTGATTTATCTGTCATAATTTGGGGGTGGTTTGTCCCTCTTCAGTGGCTGATTTCTCAGTGTAACACTGATTTCTCAGTGTTACATCTGATTCACCGTTAAGAGCCGAGGCTGGCAAGACAGGGCAGCACTTGACCAGTACCAGGTACCTGGGTTTGGATTTCAGCTTCACTTCCCATCTGCCTGTCAACAAGCCACGGAGCCATCGTGTGTCTCCATTTCCTCATCTTCAAGTGGGATTATTATTATCTACTACATACAGAATTATTACAAGGATTAAAATAAGATAATCCACTGAAAGATTTTTCACACTGCCTGGTACAAGAAAATGCTCAATAAATGTTAGCTAAAATTACAATTAGTCATAAAGCTAAAGGGAAATAAAAAAAAAACTGTATTTCTCTTCTTTGAAGGAATTTTCAGGGCCCAATTATGGCAAAATGCCAGTATTGTTGATGCAAAAGATATGGAGGATCTAGTCTTAGGAATATAGATATTCACTTTTATATTAGAAAAAAACATATGGCTCTATATCACAAAAAAAAATGTAACGTCTTTCCATTAAACACCACACAACTCTCATCATTATGTCCTACATACACCCTAAATAATGCGGTGTTTCTAAAGATTTTCAATGTCAGGGTCCAGTAATTTTAACTAAGAAACAGCTGCTGACATGCCAGTTGGGCAGTGACCTGTGTGTGCCCCGGGCTGCATCCACACAGATGGTTGGACTCTGTCGCCAACATCTCGACTCCCCACACACAATCAGATGAGTCAGGTTCCTGCAGACCTTCAAGTCTCTACTTCTGAGCCCCTTCAAGGGACGTTTCCAAAAGGTGAAGGAAGCAACAGTCTGAGGCTGGAATGTCCCACACCTACTTCAGTATGATATGATAGCTATCATTGGTTTCTGCTGTAGAGAGAGACAGAGAGAGAGAGAGAGAGAGAGAAAGAGAGAGAGAGAATCACCTTTAGTTACCTTGAAAACAGTAGGGGGAAAATGGTCAGATTTTATGATTTGGGTTTCTCGTTTTGTTCTGTTTGGCTTTGGGGCTGCACTGGCAGTGCTCGGGTACTGCGCCCAGCTCTGAACTCAGAGGACATAAATTTGGGCCCCAGAGCCTGGCAAGCTCCCCGTGACGTATTCGATATGCCAAACACAGTAACAACAAAGTCTCCAATGGAGACGTTACTGGGCCCGCTCGAGCAAATCGATGATCAACGGGAGGGCCTTTACTTTACTTTATATACAAAGCATGAACTCAGCCTGTTGTGTATCTCTCTAATCCAGTAAGGCTTTATTGAGAAGGAAAATAAAAGCAGGACAAAGGGTACTGTTTATTAACAATCATCAAATATGTATAGCAATAAAAACTATGCATTATAAAACAATGCATCTCAATTTCCTCATTCTTCCATGGAAAGTGAAAAAAAATTGCAGAGTATACTCCGATATATTAAGAAGCCAATTCATACCAAAAAGGTCTCTGATTATGTCACTTTCTCTACTACATATAAATAATAATAATTTCCCCATACTCTTAAAAAAGTGTGAAAAATAGCATCTAAATGCCCGAAGGAGGCAACTGTCCTTTTTATTACCTTTCATTGTGTCCAGAATAAAACAGGCTTCTTCCTGAAAGTTCTGTATCATCTGAAAAAATGAAGAAAATTTGCTGGTAATGAAAAGCTTTGGTTTGTCGTACTTCTTTTGACCAACTGACTTTAATCTTATTTTCTTCTGTTTGGTTTTTCAGTCTTAAAAAGTAAGCAGTCTATAACAGTGACATTAAAAATATAGTATGTATAGTATGCATTTTTCTTCTCTCTCTCTCTCCTTTTGGGCGTTTATGGTTTTGAATACAGATACTGAGAAGTTATCATATTTGTTCCCTAGAAGCAGGCTGGAGGTGGGCATGGGGTTGGTGGCAGGAGGGAAATTGGGGTCTTTGGTGGTGGGAAATGTACATTGGTAGAGGAAAAGCTGTTGGAACATTGTATCACTGGAACCCAATCATGCACAGCTTTTGTAACTGTGTATCTCAAGGTAACTCAATTAAAAAACAAAATTTACGCCCTGCTCAAATGAAAGCATACTGGCCTCCTTTGCTATTAAAGTTCAAATAATTTCAGTCAAATCTAAGAAAAAAAAAAAGAATAGCATAGTATGCATTTTTCAGGCTAGCCCCAAGAAATCCCAAGGGGTACATCAACTCTGATAGGATCAAATGAAATAACTGCCTTCTGCATTTAAATCGTCTGCAGTTTGTGGACCTCTTCAGGTTCCTTTTTCCACTTTTTCCTTCTCAAACTCCCGTTCCCCATTGTATAAAATAAAACATGGATTTCACCCTGGAATCTTAGCAATATGTAACTCTCTAGGGTGGCTGGAAGCATCCAGGATGCCTCAGTATAACTGCAAATGTGAAACAATGATGACTCGGTAACAAACTGTTACATGAGTCAGATGGTTTCTAATTCCTTCATAAGAACTGAAGAGTGATCTAATCACAAATTATCAAATGATAGATGATTTTCTAATAAAAGTATTTTTGTAACACCACTGTAATTTTGCACATAACTCATAAGTTTAAAAAAAAGTCCAGTGGGGGCTGGAGCGATACCACAGCGGGCAAGGCGTTTGCCTTGCATGCAGCCAACATGGCCAATACAGGTTCGATCCCCAGCATCCCATATGGTCCCCCGAGCACCGCCAGGAGCAATTCCTGAGTGAATGAGCCAGGAGTAACCCCTGAGCATCGCCGGGTGTGATCCAAAAAGAAAAAAAAAAAAAAAAAAAGTCCAGTGATGCTGTTATGACAAAACTCAATCCATTTCCATCCATTTATGGTAGCTGGATCCCACAGACCTTATATCTAAGAGAGGAAAAAAACAGCAAGGAGGCAATGCTTAAGTCTCTTTTTTTCCCTAGCCATCAATACGCGGCATTTGCCTGCAGATGAGTGAACTATGTGCAGAGGTGAGACTAGAGAACTTCATGAATGAATACATTTCTAATACGTATCGCTAATATTTAATAATTGCCTATCAAAACACTACACACTACACCCAATCCCATATGCAAAGCACATGCTCCAGTCCGGTGAGCTGTCTCCGCAGCACCTGACAATTTCATTTTCATATAACGCTCCCAGAAATGACTTTCTGCAAACAAAAAAATACTGTATAGGGACCACAGATAGCAACACTGGGGTGCTCAGGGTCTTTTCTTGCAATAATCAGTCTAACAGTTCAGGCCTAACTATTCTGTGCTCAGCAATGGAATACTGCAGAGATCCAGCAGTCTGGGGGCCACAGGGGTTTCCAGAAGGTGTTAGGTGACAATGGTACGCAGTACTTGGTGGGCACACTTAACCATTCGAGCAATCTCCCTGATCTCAAAACAAAAAACTTTAATGGGGTTGAGAGATGGCATAATGGCTCAAACTGACTGCTTTGCAGCTGTGAAAGGGTAAATTCAGACCTAATGGCACCTGGCAGCTCTGCTCTCTGTGACCCCCAGTGTCGCCAGCAGCTTCCAACTACACCACAACTAAAAGGTTCCACAACCAGGAATGAAACTCCCAGGAACTCATATGTGACTACCAGAAGCTAAAAAGTGTGCAACTCTCAGCAGGTACAACAACCACAACGTGTGTAAGCAGTAAAACTAAAGAGTATGACCCTAGGAAACAAGTGTGTGGCCACTGCAGCTGAAAGAACGTGACCTCCTAGCAAGCACCAGAACCAAAATGTGCTAATTCAATCAAGCATGTGCACAACCTGGGTTAAAGGGACAATGAAAACAAAACCAAGAACTTTAAATGAATAAAAAATGTAGAAAAGGGGGTCAGAGCAATCGTACAGCAGGTAGGGAGCTTGCCTTGCATGCAGCCGGTTTGACCCCTGTCCTCAGCATCCCATATGGTCCCCCAAGCACCAGCAGGAGTTATTTCCTGAGTGCTGGGCCAGGAGTAACCCCTGAGCATTACTGGGTATGATCCAGAAAGGGGAAAAGAAAGTACAAAGGCCAATACGTGGCTTAGTGGTAGATCAGATATTTTGCATATATGAGGGCCTGGATCATGTATTTTGAATATATGAGGAACCTTCCAGATACCCTCCCACCCCCCATGTTTTAGGGAGATACACGTTTTTTTGCACATGTAGCCTTTAGCTGTGGTCATCACTAGGGGCCATACATCGGCTGTGACGCTGTACCGCTCTTGGTTGTAGTATCTGCCAGAGGTCATCGCGTTTTGCTGTGGTGCTCACACACATTCTGGTCACAGTGTGTGCTGGGGATCACCAGGTTGCTCCCACGCATGCTTGCCAAGGGCATACTTCCAGGTCACAGTGCTTGCCAGAACTGTACCACTCTTTAGTTTGCTTGTCACACTCCAGCTGGTGCTTTAGTACAGGTGGAAATTACTTGCAGTTCCAGGAATCCCAGACAGCAGAGCTGCCAGGATCATACTGGTGTGTGCAGTGGCACTAGAGACTGCATTCGTTTTTTTGTTTGGGGGGGGCCAAAACCAGCAATGCTCAGGGGCTACTCCTGGCTCTGTGTTCAGGAGTGATCCCTAGCGATGCTCAGGGGATCAGATGCAGTGCTGGGGAGCAAACTGGGCCACATACGAAGCAAATGCCTTAACCCTTGTACAATCTCTCCGGCCCCTGGGACTGAGTTATTTTTTCCTTGCAGGTCGGGAGGGCAGCACTAAGGGCTTACTCCTGGCTCTGTGGTCAGAGAGGACATCCTGGCAATGCTCAGGGAATTATCTACAGTGCCAGAGACCAAACTGGGGTCAGTTGTGTACAAGGCAAGCATCTTAAGCCCTGTTTTATCTCTCCAGGCCCTGAATTCTTAATCCTTCAATCCAAGCTTGAAGTCTTAAGCAAGCTCTCTAAACCACCAGGCCATCCCCCGGTCCCAGGATGGGTCCGAAAAAAGGGGTTGAAGAGATAGCTCAAAGGGATGAGGGCATGTTTGCCAAGTAGGAGGCGGAGGTTCAATTCCCAGTAGCTCAAGGTCCCCTGAGCCCAGCACTGACCATAGAGTAGAAGCGCCTGAGCACCACTAGATGTGGTTCAAAAATAAAAACAAATCAACAGCATCTTAGAAGCAAACAAGCAAAAATCTGTGGTGCAGAGAACAGAGCACGAAAGGGCCGGAGCAATAGTGGGAAGACTGCTTTAGGAAGAAAAAAAAAAAGCAGAGGAGTCACCCCCGTGGAGCTGCGCCTAGTCATGCCCTGATGAAACCTCAGCCGGTGACTTAGTTGCACTGAGAATATACCTCATCACTAATGAGCACGTGGATCCCTGTCGGCCCCTGCTTGTAGATCTGGCTGATCTGACGAGGGGAAATACTGAAGAGCTGAGCAATTTTTTCTGTCAGTTCAACAGCAGTCAGTTCTTCGAGATAGATGGCATGGTACACTGCAAAAGGAAGAGAATCGACAGTCAGTTCCACGTCCCCTGCTCTGCGTCCATTTCTAGGAATGCCCGTTTTCTTTTTTTTTTTCCCCTTTTTGTTTTGTTTGGTTTTAGGGCAACAACTGGCAGTGCTCAGAGCTTACTCTTGGTTCTGTGTCCAGGGATCCCTTTTGGCAGGGCGCGGGGACCATATGGGAGGTCGGAGATGGAACCCGGGTCATTCACGTGCAAGACAAGTGTCCCACCCACTGTTCTTTCGCCTAGCCACATAATGCCCACTTTTCTGAAGGACTCAGAGTCAGATCGCCTGAATTCCAATCCTCATCCAGCCACCTGCCAGCTGTGTGACCTGGTGCAAGTGACAAAGCATCCCTGGGCCTAGTTTCCCTCATCTATCTGGTGGAGATGATAAGACCTACTGCAAAGAAGAGATATTAGTTACCAGTTAGAAATAAAGCACGTGGAAGGATGAGTATTTGGAAAGGATGAGTCTGTTGCAAACCATTCTAGTAATTATCATGACTTCTAGCCAATGCCCCCATCTGCTGCTTGATTAATTCCCGTAACGAAAGATAGGCCATCTCTGCACCTCCGTATCTGTCCTCTCCAGAACAACCTACCGAAGAAAGTACCATTTGAGTCTCCATCCTCATGCTTCTGTTGCTGCTGCTCCCTCAACTGCAAGGACTCCTGACAAACGTATATGGTCAGCCTCGGGCGCACCATCCTGGGGAGGAAAAGAGACCACTAACCTTACACTTTCCATGGCAAGCAAACATTAAGGCAGAATCTAGGGGTCTGATCTAATACTACAGAGCAGGGCTTGAAAAGCGGTAGCCCGCGACCCATGCAGCCCACTTGCTAGGCCTTCCTGGTCTCCACTGGGGTGGTGATGTTTTCAACTGAACAAATTCCAACAGAAGGCAGGGTGTGATCCTCACAAATTCAGCTTTTCTTGAAAAATCAGATCTGAAAATCTGAGACACTCATTCTTACCAGAAACCAGTCAACGGTCCTTAGGCGTGGGGGACGCATTCTTCAGTATATTCACTAATTGATTTGAATTCACTAATTGATTTGGACTTGATTCACTAATTTACATGTGGCAACTTTACAGTGTAAAGGTTAGAAGTATTCATAATGTGTGAACTACTGTTCAATGGATAAGTGTTTTACTTGAAAATGTTAAATATAAAGAACTAGAGAATCTTATTTTCTTCATTTTATTCTCCTGAGTAACCTAAGCCCTCTGTTCTTATTTCTCAGAGAACAGTATTCAAGAGAACATCTTCAACTGACCATCTTTCCACTCCTCTTTCTACACTCCCTTTAAATAATACATGAAAAGATGAAAGATTCAATCTCTTTTCCCCATGATCATACTCTGGGCATTCATCAACCACAATCTTATTTCCATTTATTTGTTTTTCTTCAAAGACAAAAAACAGCGAGAATTGGGTGAGAACTAAGGTGGAAAGGAAGGTGGGAGAGGGTCTTATAAACTATAAAAAAGATTATAAAATTTAATGTACTGGTAATACATTACAACAGAATTCATTTTCAATAACATTAACAAAGAGAATCTTTTGGCTTTTATTACTCGCTTTGTTGCATTTGTTCCAGGAGAAGATTTATGTTTTATACACTGTTTTGCTCATCAATAGACAATCTGGGCCTACAACAGTACCTGATTCATTAAGGACAATATGTATTTTGAATGTCAAACCTACCTGGAGGGGCTGGAGTGATAGTTCAGTTGGAAGGGCACTGGTCTTGCACAGGGCCAATCCCAGTTAATTCCCGGCATCCCAGATGGTCTCCTGAGCACCGCCAGGAGTGATTCCTGAGTGCAGAGCTAGGAGGAACCCCTCCTCCTCCCCTGCCCCAGCACTGCCAGGTGTGGCACAAAAAAACAAAAAAACAAACAAAACACTATCTAGAAATCAAAAATGGGTAATCATAGGGAATTCCATAGGAAAAGCTTTTGTCCATCCTCGCTTTTTTGATACCTAGCTGAGAGGCAGTAAAAACTGTTTTGATAAGATATATTTAATGGTACAAAGAATACGATAAAGAGACCCTGAATCCAAATCCACTGAAATCCAACTTCACTGAGATTTTAAGACTAATTACATACCGGCCTTTTAATGCATTAAAGAGCCTGATTCCATCCGCTGGACCACAAATCTGGATCACATCATCTCGAGTTAGTTTCAGTAAATCTGCTCCTAGAATGAATATAACAAAACAGGTATCAAAAGCAAAGATTCAAATCTTTGTTAATGATTCTTTAAAAGGGCTCTGCTATAGGGGCACCTCATTGCCAAATAATACAGTCATAACCTTTTTCATAGTATTTAAGACGCTTTCCTACCTTCCTCTCCCACCTCAATTCTCACCCAATTCAACTTCCTGGTTAACACTATACTTTTTTTTTTTTTGCTTTTTGGGTCACACCTGGCTATGCACAGGGGTTACTCCTGGCTCTGCACTCAGGAATCACTCCTGGAGGTGCTCAGGGGGACCATATGGGATGCTGGGAATCGAACCCTGGTCGGCCGCGTGCAAGGCAAACGCCCTCCCCGCTGTGCTATCTCTCCAGCCCCCCCCTTTTTTTTTTGCTAACACTATACTTTTAACAAATGGATCAAGTGTAATGAGCAAGTTGTTCAGCCTTCCTCCCACTGTTTGACTCACAGACTCTTCACCCTTCACATCCAACTTACGTATCCCTGGCTGCAGACCCCCCTCCACATACCTCACTTTGTACTCCTAAGTCTCTTGTCTCACAACTATTTATCTACTTAGAGGGAATTTTATTAATGTGGATATTTTTTGACGAGATACATGCATAACGCCAAATCAGACAAATGTGCAAACAGAATATAGAGCAGTAATAACAAATGAAAATTCTGAGACTACTGGCATGTCCCTTGCTAAAATATTATATAGAGGACATTTCTTTTCTTTTTTTTTTGGGGGGGGGTCTTCAGGGTCACACCCAGCAATGCTCAGGGGCTTCTCCTGACTCTGCTACTCAGGAGCCACTGTTGGTGGGTGCCTGGATGACCATATCAGATGCCAGGGATTGAACCTAGGTCGGCCACATGCAAGGCAAACGCCCTACTCACTGTACTACCCTCTGGTCCTGAAGGATACATTTTTAAAGCTGTTGTATGGGGCCTAAAAGACAGCTCAATTGTCTGAGCTTGTCCTCTGTACTACACAGGAGGTTTGGGCTCAATCCCTAGCACCGAGCTTTCCCTGAGTACTACCAGGAGAGACAACCCCCCCCCCCCCCCCCCGCATCCCCCAGTGCAGAACCAGGAGCACCTCCTGAGCATGCCAGGTGCTGAGCTCCCAATTCCCCCCACCCCTAAAAAAAGTGTTTTATGGGCCAGGGAGACAGCTCAAAGAGTTAGAGAACATGCTTTGTATGTGGGAAGCCTGGGTTCCTTCCCTAAGGGGGGACCCTTGAGAACTAAGCCAGGAGCAGCCCCTGAGCACAGCCTGGGTGTGACGCAAACATCACCCTCCTCCCCAATAAAAAAACCCTGTAGTATAAGAGCAGAGAAATGGCTGCTTTGCATTCTGGATCTCCAGGTTCAATCCCTGGCACTGCACGACTGCTTGAGCACTAATAGAAACAGCTCTGAACATGGCTAGATGTGACCTCCCCAAAGTGTTTCAAACTAAGGTCTTTTTTCCGGGGGGTGAGGGGGTCACAGCCAGTGCTGCTTAAGAGGCCATTTCTGGCCAGGTGCTCGCGGACCATGTGTTGCCAGAACTCAAAACCAGGGTTTTCACACACAAAGCCTACGCCCTAGGTCTCTGAACCATCTCCCCTGACCTAAGGGTCATTCTTCGAATGTACTGCATAGCAGCTGTGGCTGTTAAGGAAGTCTGATGGGTTCTATGAAACTCATTTGGTCAAAAAAAAAAAAAATGCTGGAGAGACCATTTCAGGGGCTGGAGAGACGGTTCAGAGGCAAGGCGTTTGCCCTGCATGTGACTAACCCTGATTCCATCCCTGGGGCTGCACGCAGTGCCCCAAGCCCCACCAGGAGTGATCCCTGAGCAGAGCCAGGAATAAGCCCCAAGTACTACTGAGTGTGGCCCAAATAACAAACAAACAAAGTTTCAGAGCCAGAAGACAACCCTGAGACCGCAGACGCCACATGCACACACACATATATCCATGATTACAAAGAGACCCTAAAATAGAAAGGAATATTCCAAAAGGACAAGCAAACTGAACCTGAGAAGTTTGTGAATAGCCTTGTGAAAGTGGAAAAACGGTTTCGATGTAGCCACTGCTGAGCTTCCTGAGGTGTGGTTGTTGGCAAGAGATTCTAGAAGAGACAAAGCAAATTTTTTTTTTGACAACTAAATCAACATTCATCTCTTGCATCATTAGGTAACACACAGCCAAACGGATCCACACTCAGACAGACAACAGCCTTCCACTGGACATTGTTACACCACTCTGCAGCGTTCTATCCAACCACGCAAGAACGCCCAGGGATGCTAGCCAAGCCTTATCGGCCCCACTAGACTCTAAGCTCCTAACTAAAATGCAAGGCTCCTCTCTCAAGCCCTTAGCTTAGTATTGAGTAGAAAGTCAAAACTCAACATGAATTAATACATAACATTCTCGAAAACCTGAGCATTTTTTAAAGAACGGCAGTCATCAAACTATTAAACATTGCAAATAACTGATATTTCACTGTAGACTTACATCTGTGACTGGTGGGGGCGGCTCTGGCTGGTGGCTTGGTGAACCATTTCTAGAGGAACATTTAAAACGAAAGGATGAGTCCATGGCATACACTAGGGTTCACCATTGCAGACTTCATGTTCATAACACTTCACAAGCCAGTGATGTAGAGGAATCTATGTCTCACATAATATTCCTATACAGAGTCCCATACGTCTATTATCTGTTCATTCGATGTAAAGACTTTATTGGGAGAGGGAAACGAAACTATGTTCATCCAATGTTTTTTCTGGGTTTTTCTGGGGTGGGGGCACACGCAGATACTGAGGGGCTACTCCTGGCACAGTGCTCAGAGGCTACTCCCAGTGGTGCTTGGGGAATCAGGTGGTGCTGGTATCTGAACAAAGGCCTCCCACATGTAAAACATGTGCTCTTGCCCTTTGAGTTATCACCCTGGTTCCTACACTTTTTTTATTATTGGAAATTTGGTGTGTGTGGGGGGGGGGGGGGAATCTTAGCATTTCAGTAAATTGGGATGATTAAATTATGGCACCGAGAATATTTAACATAAGAGATGTATTAGTGAGCTAGAGAAATAGTACAGAGGTTAACCAACCACAGTTTAATCCCCAGCTCTGCCTGGTCCCCCAGAAGCAGTCCCTGAAAATGGCCAGGTATGGGCCCCAAACCTTCCCCACCCCCTAAAAGGACTAATTTATTAGAATGTAAAGTAAAAATCTCAGTATAAAAAATTAATGAACATTAAACAAGAATAGAAATATATATATGTAAACACATACAGGGAAAAAAACTGAAAGGAAATTTTCGATGTACAACGTGGTTGTATACTTACACAGTGATAATATAATTATTATTATTTTTGGAGTTAGTTTGAGGCCTGGCAGTCCTGCTTGGACCAGAGGCACAAGGGGCCATGCAATGTCAGAAACTAGGGGGCTAGAAAGCTCTCCGGCGCTTCTAGCTAACTCTCCCTCCTCACAATCGATCACTCTGGGAGGGTGGGCCACCAGAGTTCAGGGGCCTGGGACTACTCCCTGCAGTAATGCAGCTGTGCAGGTCAGTTTAAAGCTCTGCAACTCAGCACCAGTTGGGCCCAGCTCCAAAGGGCCAGACACACACCAGGGCTACACCTGGCAGTGCTGGGGGGCCTCTAGGGCAGGTAGTACTCCAACCAAGCAGTGCTGTCTAACTGATCACCCTTGGTTTCTGTAAAACTTCCTTTTGCTCTATATATTGCTCTCCTTCCATAAGGCTTCCCTTTGTTTGTTTTGTCTTGTTTTTTGTTTGGGGGCCACACCCAATAGGGGCCACTTCAGACCAGAGCGACCAGCACGTACAGTGTATGTTCCAATCCTCTGACTAGCTCTCTGGCCCCAGCGCCATGCTTCCTTCTTTATGGGAGAAAAACGCTTTGAGCCTACTAATAAAATAATGACAAAGGTAAAAATTAACACTTGTTTGTTTTTTGGGGCACATCCAGTGATACTCAGGTCTTATGCCAGGCTCTGTGGTCAGGGATCACTCCTGGCTAAACTTGGGGGAACCACATGGGGTGCAGAGAATTGAACCTGGGTCAACTGCATGCAAGGCAAGTGCCTACCTGCCGTATCATCTCTCTGACCCAAAATTAACACTTTTATTTATTTATTCATTTATTTCTTTTTATTTTTTGGGATCCCGCCCGGCGATGCACAGGGGTTCCTCCTGGCTCTGCACTCAGGAATTACCCCTGGCGGTGCTCAGGGGACCATGTGGGATGCCGGGAATCAAACCTGGGTCAGCTGCGTGCAAGGCAAATGCCCTACCTGCTGTGCTATTGCTCCAGCCCCAAAATTAACACGTTTAAACATATATCTTGTTTGGGCTTTTTCTAAAGTGCTAATTTTTTTTCCTCTCCCCTCACACTGTTCTTTCAGTGAAAACTATTCTGCTTCACTAAAAGAGAAAAAAAAATCCAGGCATAATTAGAAGTGCCTCTAAATGCATAAATACACAGACAATAAAATAGTTTGCTTTCAAAAAAGCAAAAAATCTTTTTTTCTGGAGCCAGAGAGGTGGCTAAAGTGACTGGAATGCAGAACATGGATGGAGAAGTCTCAGGTTGAACCCCTAGCACCACACAGACAGACTCTTGAGCACAGAGCCAAGAGTAGCTCTGAGCACCACTGGGTATGGCATCCCCCCAAAAAAAAAAAAAAAAAACCCACAAATAAAGAGAAAAAACTATTCTTTTGGCAATATTTGAAAAATTGAAATTAAGTACATTAAGTACTCAGATTTATTAGTTATCTCAGGACCCCAGTTATTTCATCTATAATTTCTGGTTTTTGTTTTGTGTTTTTGCAGGGAGCCCCACCTGGCAGTGCTCAGGGCCCTACTCCTGGCTCAGGACCCAATGCAGGAATCAAACCTGGTGGTCCCTCATGCAAAGCCTGTGCTCCAGTTCCCAGTTATTTCCCAGTCCTGGAGCGATAGTACAGAGGGTAGGGCGTTTGTAGGGCATTTGCCTTGCACGCGGCCAATCTAAGTTCAATTCCTCCACCCCTCTCGGAGAGCCTAGCAAGCTACCGAGAGTATCCCGCCAGAGCCTGGCAAGCTCCGCAGAGTATGCTAAAAACAGTAACACAAGTCTCACAATGGAGACATAATTGGTGTCCGGTGGAGCAAATCCATGAATAATGGGAGGATGGTGCTACTACTTTCATTCTTCATTGTTACATTTTGAAGGTAACAATTAAGTAATTTAATTTACTTAAGCAATTTTAAATACTTTTAGAAGTAGGTTGAATATACAGCCTATATAAATTGGAAAACAAACATCAAATAACATACACATTTAATAGTGTAAATATTCAAATTTCAAAGGCCTTTGTGAAATATATGTCAAATGCTAAGATTATAAGATAACTTATTTTAACTGGAAGTAGAAATCTAAGAACTTTCGATTATCTTTTGATAGGAAAAGGATAGGAGAGAAGAAATGCATCCCATGGAAGATTCCAAAAGTTCATTATTATCTTCAACTTTCTTCCCCAAGATTCATATTATCAGGTGTTTGGGTCATTCTTTAAAAGTAATAAGATACACCTTAGTGTACATTTAACTGAGGTTCAATTCTAGATGACCACTCCAATTAAAGTACCATCAGGAAGTTAAAGGACAAAGAGCAGTAACAAGGGGGACACAAGTACCCCATCGCCAAAGACTGACCGTAAGTGCTCTCTTTAAATGGGGTGATAAAAGAAGAGAATCTCTCAGTCTCTTCAAGATAACACAAACCTCGGCAGATACATTAATCCCTCGAAGACTAACCATAGCACAGCATGCAACCATTTGGAAAGAACTTATTGATGGAAAGATCATGAAAGAATACTTATTTAGGATAAACATGCTTCCCAGACTTACCCTTCCCCGAGAGAAAAGCTGCTGTGGGAACTGCTGAAGCCAGGTGAGGGGGAATTATTGACATACGTGATCTCAGGCCACGGAGAACACTAAAAGCAAAGAAGAACTTAAACAGGGAAAAGAATTCAGAGTCCAGGGTTCACCAAGATACTGGCCCTTGAATAGGGCAACTAAATAGTCATTTTCGGGGGGGGGGGACACGAGCTACTGAGGAAGGGCTACATGAGTGGTTCAGGAAACATGCGGAACTGGACACTGAACTGGGGCCTTTCACAGATGAGGCATCTTCCCTGTCATTTGGGTCACACTGACAGTTCCCTTGATTAGTAAACGTTATTGCTCCGAGGACATCAAAACTGAAAGGAATGGACTCAGGGCAAGTAAGTTTTGACCAAACTGAAATATTTATGTTTCTGCTGTTCAGAATGAGATATGGGAGGGGCTGGAGCAATAGCACAGCAGGTAGGGCGTCTGCCTTGCATGCAGCCGACGTAGGTTCGATTCCCATCATCCCATATGGTCCCCCGAGCACCGCCAGGAGTAATTCCTGAGTGCATGAACCAGGAGTAACTCCTGTGCATCGCCGGGTGTGACCCAAAAAGGAAAAAAAATAAACAGAATGAGATATAGGGGGCCAAGAAATAGTATAGCCAGTACAGTACGTACGGGGAGACAGTACAGCAGGAAAGATGACTGCACTGTACATGCTCGACCTGTGTTCTATCCCTGGCACCCCTTAGGGCCCCCGGCAGGAGTGATCCCTAAACACCACAGAGCCAGGAATAAGCCCTGAGCACTGCTCAGGTGTAGTCCAAAAAACAAAAAGTTTTTTAAAAATGGTATGACTGTCAGACAGAGTTGTGAGTACAACTGAATGAGCTGAAATATGTGTATTTTACGAAATGGCTGGATCTTCTGTCCTCCTTCCCCCCCATCTATGGCACTGCGATGACATGTTCGGTTATGGTGCTCACGAGGGTGGCTGCAGTGTGCGCCATCCAGGCTGTGATGTTCATATATGTGCTCACTGGGGATCACCCAGCGGGTAGCAGTGCTCACATATTTTTAGCTGTAATGCTGGGGGGAGGTCCCAAACCACAAAGATGCAGAGACAACACTTGGTCATGCGAGTGGCACCAGGCATCAATCTCTAGGCCTCACGTTTGTAAGGCAGGTGGGAGCCATCTCCAGCCTCAGACTTTTCTTTTAAGAATAAAAACCAATGGGGCTAGAGTGATAGCACAGTGGGTGGGGCGTTTGCCTGGCACACGGTCGACCCGGGTTCGATTCCCAGCATCCCATACGGTCCCCCGAGCACTGCCCACTGACTGAAACTGCCACCAAAAGGAACCCTTTTACCTCTGTGAGAATAGTCGTCTCATATGAAGGCTGGTATTTCTCCTTTTCGTGAGGTGTTCGTTTCTCCATTTTCTCTCTGTCTGTTTTTTGTTTTCTGTCTGCACCTTTAGGCTGAAACGAGAAATCATTTTGTTTTAAACTCAAGTATTCAGGGCTGGACTGATAGTACAACAGGTAGGATTCTCACCTTGCATGCAGCCCACCAGGGTTCAATCCCTGGCATCCTATATGGTCCTCAGAGGACTGCCAGGAGTAATTTCTGAGTGCAGAGCCTAGAGTAACCCCTAAGCATCACTGGGTGTGGCCCCCAAAAAAACAAAAAACCTCAAAACACACTGAACTCAAAGATTTAATTCTTGACCCAACAATATTATTTCTAAAACAGTCACATATGAAACAAAATATACAACGATGTAAATTTTCTGGGGCAGAGCAACAAGAGTAGAATACCTGCACGCAACTAACCTGGTTCAATCCCTAGCACCACATATAGTCCCCCAAGGACCACCAGAAGTGATCCCTGAATTTAGAGCCAGAAGCAAGCCCTGAGCACAGCTGGGACTAGGGCCCTAAAATAAAAAAATATGCTTATGAACATATAATATGCATTATCATCCTTATATGCCTGAAAATAGAAAACCTAAATGCTTGATGGAACAGAAAAAGAGAGGGGATCTATTCAGCTACTGATACAAAAAAGATCACTCTCTACAGCACAGAGCTGACGGAAGAGAGCAAGAAAAAGGCCCTGGACAACTTGATTGGAGCTAGGGATGTAGCTGCAGGGTGAGACCCCCAGCAGAGCATCAGCTTCAGTACAATTTATTAAATTTTTAATATTATACATGAAACCCTATCATTAACAGTATTTTAGTAACGCCTAAATTTTCAAAAAACATTTAGGGTTAGAGACGCCAAAGGGTTTGGTGGGCACAGTGCTTGCCTTTGCATGTGGCCAACCTGGGTTTGATCCCTGGTACTCTCAAGAGTCCCCTAAGCCAGGCCAGAAGTGATCCCTGAGCAAAGAGGACGAATCTAGCCCTGAGCACATATGGGTATAGGCCAAAACCAAAAATAAATAAATATTGTTGGCGCGATAGCTTAAAGGGCTGAGCGTGTGCTGTACAAGAACCCTGGAAGCTACCCTCAAGCACTGAGCCAGGAGTAGCCCCTGAATACTGATGGGAATGGCCCCAAAACAAAAGCAAGTAAGCTTCTAACAAAAGCCACATTGCGAGGCCAGAGACATAGGATAGTGGGTAAATCAGCGACTTGGTTCAATCCTCATTCCCCCAGAGGGTCCCCTGAACCCACTAGGAGTGATCCTTGAGTGCAGAGCCAGGAGTAACCCTGAACACCGCCAGGTATGCCCAAAAACAGTAAGAAAATTCTTAGGAAACTCCTCCCATACTCCAGAAGCCTTCCTGTACTTTTCCCTTTTTTCATTCTTTTAAATAAAATCTTACTTTGGAAAACCTGGCAGGCTACCAAATGTAGCCTGCCCACACAGCAGAGTCTGTGGCAAACTCCCCGTGACATACCCAACATGCCAAATACCAGTAACAATGATGGATCTCATTCTCCTAACCCTGAAAGAGCCTTGAATTTGGCACTTTTTAAAATCTCAGGGCTAGGACGAAGTAGACGTTACTGGGGCCTGCTCGAGGCAATCGACAAACAACAGGATGATCGTGATCGTGAAATAAAATCACTTCTGAACTCAAACACACACAAAAAATTACATGTGGTATAATCCTATGCTTTCAAAGGGAATAAAATACACGTATACTTATATACATGTAAAAGCCCAGAAGATGACTAGAACAATACATACCAAACGGTAGTTATTTCAGGAAAAGTTTAGGAATAAGGAAGAGTTTAAATTGGGGGCACTGCTCAGAGGGCTGAAACACAGGCTTCATATTCAGGAATCTTAGGTGCGATCCCTGAAACCATATGGTCACCAGACCAACATATGTGCGAAGTTCTGAATACAATCCTTACCCACAAAAAAAAAAAAAAAAAAAAAAAAAAATCACCAAGAAACAATCCAAAAGCCTGTCACAGCAAAGGGCAAAAGAAGAGCAGATCTGAGGCAGATAGACCTCACTAAAAAGAAACCCCACCAAAGGGAAGAAATCAGGAGAACTTTAAGCTTCTGAACATTACCCTGGGATATATGGAGGGAAGATTGCACCCAATCAGGATCCAATCCCATGATCCCACTCCTACAATACTGGAAAGGAAGATGAAAAACTAAAGGTATAAATAGGGGTGGAGTCGCTGGCAGGCACTCTCTTGACAATCTCTCACAATCTTCTGGATAGCAGGGCAGAGGCTAGCATGGCTGGTGGACACCATGCTGAAACCCATTCTCCACAGCAATAGCACCGGCAGCGTGTGGCCCCAGAACAAAACAACAACATCAAAGCAACAATTACTTGGTGACTCTGCAATCAAACAGTCTATTTCACTTTTTTTCTGCCTACGTGCAGTTTAATTTCCTAGGTTTCGTTTTGTTTTTTGCTTGGGGGCCACACTTGGCAGTGCTCAGGACCTAGTCCTGGCTCTGTACTCAGGCAGCACTCCTGGTGGGCTCAGGAGTGCTGGAGATCAAACCCAGGTTGGCTGCGTGCTAGGTAAGTGCCTCTGTATTATTGCCCTAGTACCTGATCGTTCTTTATTTTTTTTTTAATGTAGGAGTACTGCTATTTATTCAGCCACTTATTAGCTGATTCAATTGGGCACGAACCAATCATTCTTTTTTAATATAAGCATTAATATTGTAAATTTCTCTCTAAATTACTTATTCAAAACTTCAAAATATTTTCTAATTCCGTCCTTGGGAAATTTCCTTCCCTCTTTTGGAACAGGAACGTATTGTTTAATTTCTAAGTATTTGGAAAAATTTGTTACTGGTTTACAATTTAATTGTTATGGTCTGAGAAGTATTTGGGGGGTGGGGGGGCACTTCCACACATCCAGCTTTGGTGCAGTTGGAAATCACACAGAACCAGAGATTACATGCAGCAAAGTTGCCAGCATCACAACTGCTGCATGTGGCAGCACTGCGGTTTGAATGCCTGACCACACACTTTCAAGGAAGGTATCATTATTTTTCAAAATTTTACTGTTATAAAGTTGTTCACAATAATTGATTACATTTAATATTCAAACACCAATCCCACCACCATTAGACCTTCCCGTTTCTATCCCCAAACGCTCCCTCCAAAGCAGAACTGAAGTCATTTATTTGAGAAGCATTTTTTCATTACAATTTTTTTGATTTTTTTGGTTACTGGGCCATACCCAGCAGTGCTCAGGGCTTACTCCTGGCTCTGTGCTCAGGGGTCACTCCTGACGATGCTTAGGGGACAAGATACAGTGCAATGCAAACAGCCTAACCCATATACCTTGGCCTTGAATGAAATTCTTTGAAAATTAGATAAAAACAAAACAAAAATTGGAAGGCTTTCCACTATTTTTCTTCACAAATAAAGGTTATCATTGCCAAAAGACAACAACGAAAAAAGTAATAAAGGGACATTTTGTAGTCATGCTTTGATTTTTTGCTTAGTTTTTGTTTGGGGGATACAACTAGGTAAGTATTCCTAGTTCTGCGTTCATGGTAGGTTTGGGGACCATAGGGGATGCTGGGGATCAAACCTGGGTCAGTCTGTTACTTTGAATTATTTTTATATTGATAAAACTTCTGCAGTGAGAATTTATGTGTGCATGTGGCAAAAACAAAAGACCAAAATAAGGAAAGATCAAGTATGAATATATTTAAAAGTCAATTTTTCATTATTTTTATGAGCTTTTAAAAAGAACTTGTTACAGGAGCTGGAGCGATAGCACAGCGGGTGGGGCATTTGCCTTGCACATGGCCGACCCAAGTTCGATGTTCGATTCCCAGCATCCCATAGGGTCCCCCGAGCACTGCCAGGAGTAATTCCTGAGTGCATGAGCCAGGAGTAACGCCTGTGCATCGCCGGGTGTGGCCCAAAAAGGAAAAAAAAAAAAACCTTGTTACAGGCAGGAATGATATTATAACGGGTAAGGCACTTGCCTTGCATGTGGTCAACCTGCCCTGTTTCTCTTTTCCTATCCTGGTTAAATTTCTTTACCAGGCATCTCAGTAATTATTTTAATGGTTGTAGATGAACTTTTCTTAGTTTTTTTCAATAAAAAAAAAAAAAAACAAGAAAGAAGGCAAGTTAACCTTCTGATCTGTTAACTAATGGTAAAATTCAAAGATGAGGGGCTGGAGCGATAGCACAGCGGGTAGGTGTTTGCCTTGCACGTGGCCGACCCAGGTTCAATTCCCAGCATCCCATATGGTCCCCTGAGCACCGCCAGGAATAATGCCTGAGTGCATGAGCCAGGAGTAACCCTTGTGCATCACCGGGTGTGCGCCACCGCCCCTCAAAAAAAAAAATTAAATTAAATTAAATTAAATTCAAAGATGTGGAAAAAAAGTCCCAGTCTCAGCAAAGTTCTGCCCAGAGATACCTTGAAGACTTTGATCTGGCAGCTGGCTGAGTGCAAGTGCTCAGTATATTCTCCATTCTCATTCTCCTTGAAGGTATCAATCTGTACTCGGAACGGCACCCCCTTTTCTCCACCGTGTTTTCTCATGGTGAACTCTGTGCTGATACAGTGCACCTGAAAAGAACACAACACCTAGGGTTCAGGACTATTGGTGAACCAAACCAGTCAGCAATGTTTATTGGACAACTACTTAAAAGCACCATAAATACAAAAATTGTCGTGCTTTTGATCTCTAAGAACTTACACACTAACAAAAGGAACGAGGAGAACTTAAACAATTTATAAATGCAAACAAAATAAATGTACAGACCTAATGCTAATATAGGTGCTATGACAAACTAAATTTGTTAACTGCTTCAGAGAATGCACAGATTTAACATAAAAGAGCCATGATTTCTATTAGTAAACGTTTCCTGGACTTGAAAGAAACTTAGAAAAAGGAGGCATCATTCATGTCGGGAAAATAGAAAATAGAGAACTTACAGATAATAGCAAAAAAAATCTGATTCTTGCTATTATGTATAAGTTTGGGCTATGGCATAAAGTCTAAAAATCTTGATGAATCTTAATAGTGGAATGCTAATCTCAGTTATTACTTTAGTAATACTAACTCTTAATAGTGGAATACTATCTCAGTTATTACCTTCTCTAAGCCCTAAAAAGCTTACCAACTCCAAAGAAGTATTACTAAAAGACTCAAAAAAAACCATATATACAAATTAGCACAGCAATATGGCCAATACTCAGTAGACTATTAGATACTACTACTGCAAATAAGAACTTTCTTTCTTTTTTTCTTTTTCTTTTTTTTTTTTTTTTTGCTTTTGGGATCACACCTGGCAATGCACAGGGGTTACTCCTGGCTCTGCACTCAGGAGTTACTCCTGGCGGTGCTCAGGGAACCATATGGGATGCGGGGAATCAAACCCCCATCAGCCGCGTGCAAGGCAAACGCCCTACCCGCTGTGCTATCTCTCCAGCCCCGCAAATAAGAACTTTCAAGAATTCTTCCCATGAGATATAAGTAGAGAGGCAAATCAAATTTTAAAAGATAGAAAAATAGTGACATAAATTACAGTAAAAGAAACTAAGACAATCTCTATACTAAATAACTCTTTGGTCATGGCCATCCAAAGGGAAAAAAATGTTATACCACCATTAATTATCTTGGGGAGGTTAATAAAATGCAGAAATCAGAAGAGCAATTCAGAAACTCTTCGTATGTCCCAATTACATGTATAGAAGTCTACACTTGACAGACTGGCAGGTATCCTGTAAAGATCTCAAATTCAACAAGTTTTAATTTTCAAGAAAGAAATTAGGGGGCAGGGGACGTAGCTCAGAGATAGAGCACATCATTTATGTGGGTTCAGTCACTGGTACCAAAACAAAGCAACGAACTGGCAGCAAGACCTGCTCTTCCTCTGGGAAGCCCATCCACGGTGCATTACCTGAATAAATACAGAGGTCCTCTTCGCAGGGTCCCATAGGAACTCCACCGTGTTGAGCTGGGTTGGATTGGCCCTAGGATCAATTATACCCACAGACATTGGGATATCTGAGAAACAAAATGATAATCATTGAATAATTCTGAAGGCTACTAAGTTTAACCAAGAAAGCACCGAATCTTATATTATGAGCCACTGATGATGAAGATTTTTTTCTCTTAGGTTTCTGGGCCACAAACAGCTGTGCTCATGGTCCACTCCTGGTGGTGCGCGGGGGGGGGGGGGGGGGGGGACTAGGTGTATGTGGGGGGAGGGGGGAGCTAGGGATCAAACCCAGGTCAGCTGTGTGCAAGGTAAAGGCCCTGCCCACTGTACTATCTCTCTGGCCACCAATATTTTCACTTAACCTCTGAATCTCTCTATTTTGTTGCATGGGGATGGGGGTGTGGGTTACACCCAGTTATGCTCAGAACTTACTCTTGGTTCTGTGTTCAGGGATCACGTCTGGTGGGTCTCAGGGGTGGCAGGAACCCAACAGGAATTGGCTGTGTGCAGGGCAATCACTTTACCTGCTGCACCATCTCTCAGCACTAAATCTCTTCTTAATTAGAGACAATATTAACCTTTCCTTCTGAGTATCTTCTATCCACTAAAGCAATTCATCTTAACACAACTTTAAAATAGCAGCTTCCTTTCAACTTGCCAAAATTCTACTTGAAACTAGATTAAGTATAAACACTAGCCCCAGTATCATAAAACTTTTGTGTTTTACTTATTAAAACTAACATTACTGGGAAAGAGATATAGCTCAGAGGCTCAGCTCTAGCCTTGTTCATGTGAAGCCTTGGGTCTGATGACAGAACTGTTGGAAAAAAAGGTGGAAAAAAGGGCTGGAGTGATCAGTACAGCAGGTAGGGCATTGGCCCTCCATGCAGCCAACCCAGGCTCAATCCCCAAAACTCGATACGGTTCTCTGAGCACCGCCAGGAGTGATCCCTGAGCGCAGAGCCAAGAGTAAGCCCTGAACACCACCAAGTATGGCCCCAAAATAAACAAAAATAGTGTTATTGCTAGAAGTATACTAAGAGGATTGCTGAAGGATAAAACAGAATCTATGAAGAAAAGAAAAGGCAATGCGTCATGAATCGATGCAAAAAATTTAATATGAAAACTGATACTGATTTATCATTTCACCAAACCATCCTGTAACAGAGTGACAGATCTTGGACTCAAGACAAAGCAAAAAAGACCATGCTCTTACAGAACTTTATTTTCCATTCTACATTGCATAAGGTCTGCTATCATTTCCTGACTTCGATAAATAGTCAGGACCTTCAGATTATGAGACTGACACGCTGCCTACTGCGCTAAGAGGGCTGGAGTGATAGCACAGGGGTAGGGCATTTGCCTTGCACGCGACCGACCAGGGTTCAATTCCTCCGCCCCTCTCGGAGAGCCCTGTAAGCTACCAAGGGTATCTCGCCTGCACGGCAAAGCCTGGCAAGCTACCCGTGACGTATTCGATATGCCAAACTCAGTAACAAGTGTCACAGTGGAGACGTTACTGGGTCCGCTCGAGCAAATCGATGAACAACAGGAGGACAGTGACAGTCAAACTAACCAAATAACGTCAGGTTGATACTGCTTGCTTATTTTGAAGAAGGCCACAACTATCGATGTTCAAGGGACCATGCACTACTGGGGATTGGACTGGTACAGGCCTCCAGCACACAAAGCATCCACTTGGCCCTTCACCTACCCCTCCAGCACCAGGAAATGTGGCATTGCACGTGCCCAGCAGTACTTGAGTTCAGTAGGGCTACACAGGAATGCTTCATGGGCCACGTGGCACCAGCTGGAACTCAGGGCCTTGAGAATGCAAAGCACGAGCCCCAGACCTATGAGTTCTCTCCCCAGCCCCCATTATTCTGAACTCTCCTCTTTTCGATCGTTTCCTTATGGTATTTTCTCAGTAGCAGTGGTCTCCAACTGCAGGTCCATGGAAAGGGGTATGACCACAGGCACAGGTAAGCTGAAACATACTAGTCTTCCACAAGGGATGTAACTACTGACCTACTGATCACGAGACCCGTATGCAGACTGGCACCGATCTGGTTTGCAGGTGTAAAAACGTTGAAGAACAATGCTCTAGGAGAACAAAAGGGAATGCCCTGCCACAGAGGCAGGAGGGGATGGGGAGGATGGGGGGTGGGAGGGATATTGGGATCCGTGGTGGTGGAGAATGGGCACTGGTGGAGGGCTGAGTACTTGATCATTGTATAATTGAAAACCAAGCACAAAAATGTGTAAGTCTACAACTATACCTCATGGTGTCTCACTAATAAAAATTAAAAAAAAAAAAAAAAGAATGCTCTATAGTATCAATTTAAACTTCTATCTCCTATAGTTTCATTTGTAATAAGTAAGGCCCTCCCGTTGATCATCGATTTGCTCGAGCGGGCCCAGTAACGTCTCCATTGGAGACTTTGTTGTTACTGTGTCTGGCATATCGAATACTCTCGGTAGCTTGCCGGGCTCTCTGAGAGGGGCGGCGGAATCGAACTCGGGTCGACCATGTTGGCTGCATGCAAGGCAAACGCCCTACCTGCTGTGCTATCTTTGTGCTTTAGTCTTAATTTACTGCATCCTCCTTCAGTTTGGTTTTGGGGCCGGGGATCAAATCCAGGGCCTTATACATGCATAACATGTGCTTTCCTGGATCCCTCCTTTAGTCTTCAAAAAAATTGAAAATTTAAAAAATACAAAAAACAAAAGCCTTCCTGTAACAACAAAATAACCTGACACAAAGTTGGCCCGAGAATCTGAAAACACATTTCACTAAAGAAGGTGCATAAATGGCTAGTAAGCGTATGAGAAGATGCCGACATCACCAAATATTAGAGAACTGTAAATTTGTGAGTTGCTGCCTTGCATCTGTAAGTGGCCACTATTACAGAACCCAGGAAATAGCCAAGTTCCTGTGAGAATATAACTAATATCTCTGATGTATATTTACTACAATTAACTTTAAAAAAACAAACAAAAAATATCCTGAAGTAACGGATATAACTGACATGAAATAGAACTATTTACATTTCAAACCACAATTGTAGTATCATCATAGCAGCAATTTTTAAAATGTTTCGTTTCTCATGGGGCCACCCCTCATAGTGCTGGGGCCACTCCCAGCTTAGTGCTTGAGGCTCACTCCAGGCAGAGTTCAGGGGACCAAACCCAGGGCTCCCACATTCAAAGCATGTACTCAGCCCAGCAGCGATTTTTTATGCGAGCCCCTTAAACAGTTTAGAATTTTTTCTTTTGTTTCGTTGGGGGGGGGGGGGCTACTCCTGGTTCTGTGCGCGCTCATGGGTCACTGCTGGCAGTGCCAGGGAAACCTTCAGTGCTGGGGAGCAAACCCAGGGCTCCTGCATGCAGAACATGTACTCGGGTCCTTTGTGCTATCTCCCAGGCATTCTGAACCAAGTAAAGAAAACTCGATTTCAGTTCACAGTTACAGGCACTGCACTGGCAAGAGAGTCTCTTCATTTACCTATGTCGAGAATTCTATCTCCAGGCCGGTTCCACCTCCAGCCCTCCAGCTGTTGATGTTCAGTGTACTGCAGACGCCTGTCATGGAACACTACACGAAATATACTCTATAAGGAAGCAACAAAATCAGACAGGATCAGAATCTCTTAAAAAAAAAAAATCAGGCTGGCAATGGAAAATCAGAACGAGTCACCCCCAGCTGGTTTCTAGACACAATCTAAAATGATTTCTTTTAAAATTTCTTCTACAAGGCCTATCATATCAAGCACTACTTGAGGATGAAATTTGTATTTAAAACTATATTTAACTAGCATTATATTTAAAACGTCTTACATAGCAGTCCTGATAATAGTAGGTATAAACAAGGGATGCTGGGCTGGAGTGATAGCACAGCGGGTAGGGCGTTGCCTTGCCTGCGGCCGACCCAGGTTCAGTTCCCAGTATCCCATATGGTCCCTGAGCACTGCCAGGAGTAATTCCTGAGTAATTCCTAAGCCAGGAGTAACCCCTGAGCATCGCCAGGTGTGACCCAAAAAGCAAAAAAAAAAAGGATGCTACTGGCAGCATTTTTACATGCCTCTATTGACGGCACGCTCATATTCAGCCCAGCTTCTCAGATGGAGAAGGAAAACTCACCCAGTCCCCGACTGCTAAGCCACCAACAACTTGTAAACACCGAGGGCTGGTAGTGGGTGCTTACACCAGCTCTTCATGGGTTACAGTCATTCTGCTGAAGTGCCTGTATCTTTCCTACCAACTTTTACAGCTGCTGTTTTACCAGACTTTTTGGCCCAACTGTGCTGTGAATTATTAAACCATTACTGTAACTCTCCACTAAGAAAATGGCTATTTCTTAATAATACCCTCTGTCCTTGCTACAACAGCAAGTATTCAAAGAGACACAGGAGCTTCTCTGAAGATCTCAGGAAGGTTACTTTATTCTGCCTGAAAAGAACTTCCTGAGTCAAGACACCGTCATAAAATCAAGAGCCTGGCATGAAATGGTAAGTCAGTCTCATGTTTCGGCACTTTTGAAAAATCCATGTGAACAGGGAGGTTCATTCAGATCCCAAAGAAATAATTCAATATACCGCCGTACCAGAACTTGTGGCAGATTATAGATACCACCAATTCCTTCATCAAAGGAAAAAAATACTATCCTAAAGGGGCCAATGGGAGGATATTGTGCAGAGGAATGATTTACTCATTTTCTTTTACCTTTACTAACTTGCCATTAATTTCTGGAAGCTCTCCAAGTTTCCTATTGTCTAGCATTCGAATTTCATAAGACTGCCCTAGAAGAAAAAGTAATTACATATTATATTCATCACAAGTTATCTTTGCAAGTTTCAGAAGGAATAAAATTTGGCGCAATGAATAAAACAAGAGAATTAATAGTATTACTAACAATTCTAATCCTTTACTATAAGCTAAGCACCGTACTACATTTATAAATTATATCATTAAGTGATTCAATGCTTAAGATATTACAATCCCACTTTTCACATAAGGAAATCACATATTGTGAATTTTTGAGCCACACCTAGCAAAGCTCAAAAGCTATTCCTGGGGGGCTGGAGTGATAACACAGTGGGTAGGGCGTTTGCCCTGCACGTGGCCGACCCAGGTTCGATTCCCAGCATCCCATATGGTCCCCTGAGCACTGCCAGGAGTAATTCCTGAGTGCAAAACCAGGAGTAATCCTAAGCATCGCCATGTGTGACCCAAAAAGCAAAAAAATAAAAAAAGCTATTCTTGGCTCAGTGCCTAGTAGGGACTCTTAGCAGTGCTCAGAGAAACAGTCTTTGATATCAGGGACTGGACCAGAGTCAGTCACATGCATGGCAAGCAGCCTTACCCACTATATGCTCTCTCCAGTCCCTAAGGAACTTGAAATGTAAGGCATTTACTTGACCAAGGTCATACACTGGTAAATAACCACTGGGGAGGCTAAAATTTCAAGACAACCCAGAGAATATAAATTAAAGAGAAAGGAACGTGGCCAGAGATAGGACAGCAGGTAAGGCACGTGTGTTTTACACACGGCTACCTAGGTTCGATCCACGAAACCCCAAAAGGTCCCCCAAGTCTGCCAGGTGTGATCTCTGAGCACAGAGCCAGTAGTAAGCCCTGAGAACCTCCACGCATAAACCCCAAATTTAAAAAAAAAAAAAGGGGGCCAGAATAATAGCACAGCAGGTCCGGTGCTTGCCTTTCATGCAGCCAACTGGGCTGCATCCTATATGGTCTCCCGAGCTCACCAGAAGTGATCACTGAGTGCAGAGCCAGAAACAACCCAAGTACCACAAGGTGTAGCCAACCCCTTCCCCCACACTCACACCCCCCCCCCAAAAAAGAGAGAGAAAAGAAAGGGAGGAAATACAATTAGAGAGGAGGACAAAAGAAGCCAATAATATATATCAAACGTGACACTACAACTCAAAGTCATGAACTGACAGGCTTCAATTCTTCCAGGTCACAATATGAAGACATATTTTCATATACAAGTCTATCTAGGGGTCAGGGAGATAGTTTTGCATGCAGATGGTCTGTGTTCAATTTCTAGCGCTGCATGGTGCCCCACGTACTATCGTGGCCCCCGAAGAAATGCACCGGGAGTACCCCCAGGCAACACCAGGTGCGGCTCAGAAACCGCAAAGGAAAAACAAAGGGTGCTTAATACATTATCCCAAATCCAGCAGCTCTGCACAAATACTCACAAACAAGGAAGCATCTAACCTTGGTTCAGATACGTCAGGGTTTCGTCGTGGAGCTTCACCGCCGGGGACGTGGCGGCACAAAGCACGTACTGAAAAGGCAGGATTTTATTCTCATTGTCAGGAGGCAAACTGGACTCTTCTTGCTTAAAAATGGGCAGTGCAAGGACATCGCTGAAATAAAACAAACGATTTACAATAGCATCCAACCACGGCGCAAGGGAGAATTGGCTAGTTTACAATTTAACTGAAATTTGCTTTGGACACTACAAACACGACTCGCTCTAGTGGAGGTTCCATCCAATCATTCAGTTCAAAGGGCCAGCTGGGCCAACTCCCTGAGCACAGCAGGTAATGACAGCAGGTGATGACAGTCACTGCTAAGACAACCCAGGTAACCAAAGAGAATTTCTAGGAATCAGACAGGAGTTCCTAAAAGGGCTCTGCAAAGTGTATGCTTTATTCTAAAGTGTCAATTTACAGCACTCAGTGACAGATATGTTCTCAGACAAGCACCAACTACATTATCTATTCAAACTATATTCAAATCAGCTAATCCTCTCTCTCTCTCTCTCTCTCTCTCTCTCTCTTTTGCTTTTTGGGTCACACCCGGCGATGCACAGGGGTTACCCCTGGCTCATGCACTCAGGAATTACTCCTGGCGGTGCTCGGGGGACCATATGGGATGCTGGGAATCAAACCCGGGTCGGCTGTGTGCAAGGCAAACACCCTACCTGCTGTGCTATCACTCCAGTCCCTAATCTTCTCTTAGGAACTAAAACAAGAGGGGCTGGAGCGATAGGAGAGTGGGTAGGGCGTTTGCCTTGCACGTGGACAACCCAGGTTCGATTCCCAGCATCCCATATGGTCCCCCGAGCACCTGAGTGCAGAGCCAGGAGTGACCCCTGAGCATCACCAGGTGTGACCCAAAAAGCAAAAAAAAAAAAAAAAAAACAAAAAACAAGAGCCAAAATTACTAGAACTCATAGGACAAACCTATTACAGTACCCATTTCAATGTGACTTATGTTTGCCTAATACAACTTATACCGAGAGCAACCTTCTCTAAGAAAAAGCATCTTGTATCTGTTTCTCTGAGCTTACCTGTTCTGAGTACTTGCTGTGCACACAGCCAACCCGGGGCTCAATCCCCAGCACCCCATATGGTCCCATTCCCCACCAGGAGTAAGCCCTGGGTATCTCCTGGTTGTGGCCAAAAAAAATGGTAAAAATTTTTTTGAAAAAGTAAAATTTCTTTTGAATTTGGCAAAAAATTAAATACAAATAAAATAAGTGATTTTCTTTGAAGTAAATTACGTAGGGGTTTGGGCTTGAAAATTAGAAGCCAGGGACTGGAGCGATAGCACAGCAGGGAGGGCGTTTGCCTTGCACGCGGGCCGACCTGGGTTCGATTCCCAGCATCCCATATGGTCCCCTGAGCGCCGCCAGGAGTAATTCCTGAGTGCAGAGCTAGGAGCAACCCCTGTGCAATGCCAGGTGTGACCCAAAAAAGAAAAAAAAAAAAAGAAGCAGCAGCCAGGGGTCCATGCCTAGTGCTAGTCACCTGCGCTGTAAACCTGCATCTCTGTGGGTGGCAGCCCCTCCCACACACACCCTGGCAGCTCGTGGATGCAAGCACCCCTTCAAAAACGTTTGAGCCCCACAAGCAGAGGGGTGATCCCAGTCAGACCCACACCCCCGCGTGTGCGCGGCTTCTAGTCATCACAGGGAAAGGGAGGGGACGGGAAGAAAGAACAGCCACCGGGTCTCACTAAAATAGCTCAAGAACCCGGAATACATGAAAGCCCATCAGCAGTATTCTGAATCATGGAGCCTCAAATAACATACATACATAAATAATAAACACACAATTAAAATGTCTACAATTAAAGAGTTTAACAAGCCAAATGTTGGATATGGGCCACCCTGTTTAATAATAGGCACTAAAAGGGACCAAAAAAAAAAAAAAAAAAAGGAACGCGTTGGCGGTTGATTTTGCGGTGCTGGAACGACAGCTCAGCTGGCTCAGGGCAGCCTTGTGTGCAGGAAGCCCAGGTTCAATTCCTGGCACAACAAGGTTTCCAGAGCACCCCGGGAGTGACTAAAACACAACCCAAGAGCAAGATCCTGAGAAGTGCTACGTATGGCCCAAGAAACAGAAAGTTTTGTAAAGGTTAGGCAGTTTTTTTGGTTCTCAGTTTTGAACTATACCCAGCAGTGCTCAGGGATCACTCCTGGCCATATTTGGGGGACCATATGGGATGCAAGGGATTGCTTGGAGTCAGCCACATGCAAGGGAAGTACTTTTTTTTTTGTTTTTGTGTCACACCCGGTGATGCACAAGGGTTACTCCTGGCTCATGCACGCAGGAATCACTCCTGGCCGTGCTTGGGAGACCATACGAGATGCTGGGGATCAAACCAGGGTCAGCCACGTGCAAGGCAAATGCCCTACCCGCTATGCTATTGCTCCAGCCCCAAGGCAAGTACTTTTAACCTCTGTACTCACTGTTCTGGCAGCTTATTAAAAAATTATATATAATACATATATACACATATATATATAAACATGCATCTTCCCTTTGACAGTCCCACTAATAGACATTTATCCAAAAGAAATTAAAATATAAATCTACCAAAAACAAGTAAATGATGTTCATGACCTAAAATAAAAACCTAGAAAAAATTCAATGTTTACAACTCAGAGAATGGGTGCACCATTGGTATATTCAGATAATGGAATACAACTGGGCAAAACAAAGGAAAATAAGAAATGGATGGAGACAGGTAAGGTGCTTGCCTTGCATGTAGCCAACAGAGGCTCAGCCCCCAGCACCCCACATGGTCCCCGTGAGCCTACTAGGAATGATCACTGGATGAAGAACTAGACAAGTAAGCCCTGAACACAGCCAGCTATAAGAAAGAAAGAAAGAAAGAAAGAAAGAAAGAAAGAAAGAAAGAGCAAACAAGAAAGAAAATTGATAACGAATAAAAGGAACTAGACAAAAATAATATATACTGTATGATTCCTTTTGATGCTATCCTAAAACAGAAAACCAAGAACAGTGGACTTACTAGCAGCTAGCAGAGCAGAGACTAACCTGGAAGATATAAAAAGAAACTTACTGGGAAGATAAAAAATGGTCTAGACTAAGGGCCAGGGATATGTTTTAGGTGGTAAAGCACATGCTTTACCATGTGTGAAGTCCTGGGTTTGAGCTCCTGCATTATATGGACCACCTAGCAACCCTGAGTGTGACTGTCACAATAAAGAATTTTGCAGGCCGGAGTGATAGCACAGCAGGTAGGGCGTTTGCCTTGCATGCAGCCGACCTGAGTTCAATCCCCTCAATCCCTAGCATCCCATATGGTCCCCCAAGCACCGCCAGGGGTAATTGCTGAACACAGAGCCAGGAGTAACCCCTGAGCATTGCTGGGTGTGACCCAAAAAGAAAAAAAAAATGTTGCAAAAAATTTCAAATGTCAATACTAGGGATTGGGGGGGGGGACGGAGAGGGAGGGAGGGAGGGAGGGAGGGAGGGAGGGAGAGAGAGAGAGAGAGAGAGAGAGAGAGAGAGGAGAAAGAGTATACTATATAGAGTGTAGTTACGTGTTACATGGTTCTAACTCTACAGTTGGAAGGGGTCCATTTCTTAATGTATAGCTGGAAGGGGTCCATTGTCTAAACAAACTACTGAGAGGAACTCATTTTGGCAGCATACAGACTAAAACTGAAGTGATACAAAGATCAGCAGGACCCCTGCTCAGTGACAACAGCAGCATTCTGTATTTCTGAGAAAGATTGCAGAAGCTGCTGACTCATCCTTTCATATATAAAATTCTTTTGCTATTATTGAGGGGCCAAAATGATAGTACAGTGATTGGAGTTCTGATTTTGCATGTGGCTAATCTGGGTTTGATTCCTCGTATCCCATATGGTCCCCCAAGCACCACCAGGAACGACCCCTGAGCAGAGTCAGGAGTAAGCAGGCCCTAGGACCTCCAGATATGCCCTCCTCAAAAAAATGCTATTGAATGGAGAACAGGAAATGGTATGAATGATGAAAGAGTAGTAGCATATTGTAATTTTTAAAATGAGGGCATAAACACAAGGAAATTCTATTTAGGGGGCTGGAGCAATAGCACAGCGGGCAGGGCATTTGCCTTGCATGCGAATGAGCTGTGTTCGATTCCCAGCATCCCATATGGTCCCCTGAGCAATTCCTGAGTGCATGGGTCAGGAGTAACCCCTGAGCATCGCTGGGTGTGACGCAAAAAAGAAAAATCTATTTAGATAAATTTTAAGACTTTCATACAGCATGCCCCCAAGTCCTTGCCAAGTGTGATTCCTGAGTGCAGAGTCAGGAGTAAGCCCCTGAGCACTGCTGGGTATGACCCATCCCCCAAATAAACAACAGAACTGCACAAGCACAGGGTTGTCCTAGAAACCAAGGTTTTCTCTGCCCCTTTTTTTCACAACTTAAAATCATGTGATCATAGGATATAGCTCCCATCGCCAATGAGAGAAAATAAAATAATACACTATAAAACTGGAGAACATGAGATTAGTCTTCAGGAGACTTTATTACCGGTTCATCCTCAAACGCACCACATCTAATGATTCCTTGAAAGATTAGTGAAGGTTACCAGGAACCAAGGCAAATCGGATTTTGCAACATAGCAACAGTTCAGCCTTTGTGAATGCGGGGCATTTTCTCCCCTTCTCAAATGTCACTATGCATCTACCCACTTAATATATCGTTTTTAACCTTCTCAATATAATATGGCTGTAGCACTGTCCTCCCATTGTTCATCGATTTGCTCGAGCGGGCCCAATAACATCTCCATTGTGAGACTTGTTGTTACTGTGTTTGGCGTATTGAATACGTCACGGGGAGCTTGCCAGGCTCTGCCGTGCAGGCAAGATCCTCTCAGTAGCTTGCTGGGCTCTCCGAGAGGGGCGGAGAAATCGAACCCGGCTCGGCCACACAGACCGTGTGCAAGGCAAACGCCCTACCGCTGTGCTATCACTCCAGCCCCACTAAATATTGATAGAAATAAATTAGTGACCATAATAAATAAGGAAATTAATAATGGTCTAGAGTGCTGGTCTTGCATACAGGAGGCCCAGGTTCAATTGCTCGCACCACATGGTCCCCTGAGCACTGCCAGGGGC